ACTTTATGTTTATAATATCAGTTCATTGATAAAAAAACTAAATTAAAGTAATTTACATTTAAATTATTCTATAAGATGTACTTGCAATAGCAATGATTCATACGTCTAAAAATATTACAAATACATTTATCTATGAGTTGATTTGATAGATTTTTACAGAACAAGATTTAATAAATCTTTAAAAATAATTGGAATATGAAAATATTTTTTGCAAAAGATAAATGGTCTTTTATTAAAATTATATTCAAAATTAATGACTATTTTTTAAGACAAATCCACAAAAAGCATTTAAGTAGAAAATACAAGAAGATGTAAGAATATTGGTTACATTAGATAGATTATATATAAACCTATATCCATCTACTTAAGAAAATTATAATATTTAGAGAATAAAATTTAATATGATATCTTTTAACATCTACTAATAAAATTTATAAATTTTATACATCACACTTTCATATATATTGAAATGATTCTATTTTATATAAAGAACTGAAAATATATATTGAAAGAGTCAAAAGTATTTAAAATAAGAAATTTAGAAGAAAAAACTTTTTTTAGATTAATAATTTTTATTTAATTATATAAAATGATAATACAAAGATTAAATAAGCTATAAAAATGGTAGAAATATAAGATCTTTAAAAGTTAGTTAGGCTCACTATTAATTTAAAAGATAAGAATAAATAACTAAATAAATAACAAATATTAAAAACTTTTTGAGCATATCTACTACAAATAGATAGTGAGGAGCAAGAAAGATAAAGACTTAAATTAAAGCTTAGATAGAAGATGGATGGAATAAGAATTTATAGTAAAAATAGAAAAATAAAGACATCTATATTCATAATTTTTGATATTAATTCATAAATAAAAGAATTTTATTAAAAGTACAGTACTTAAAAATAATATTGATTAATTATTTATTTTGAATTAATTTTCAAAGTTACAGAGTATTTATTAGAGAATATGATAAGAATATATATTAGAAACAATGAATAAAATCCTGTTATTCTTATTGAGCCAATAAATGATTGTTTTTGGTTGTACATAAAAGAATCAATTGGATAAAAAAGATTCAAATAAATCTTTTTATTTTTAAATGTATATATTTCTCTTAAGCATATGATATTTTCTTGGAACTTTACTATTTGAATTAAAGATGAATTAATTTTATGAAAAATAAATAAATAAATATTTTTAATATATTAAAAGAGTAAAAAGTCCATCAATTTTTAAATTAACATATAGGTTTGTGAATTCATACCATCTAAAGTGACGAAGATTCAATTAACAATATTATTAACATCGTGCATAAAATTAATTAATCATCAAGTCTAAATATTAATTGGGCCAATGAGACTAAGTTTAATAAAAATTTAGATATTTTGTTTGGCATGTTTTTAGAAACAAATAAATTATTTAAAATATTAAATTATATTATAGACAAATAGATTTATTATTATTATTATTATTATTATTATTTCTTCATGTATGAATGGTAGTATAAAAGAAAAAGATGATATCAACATGATAAACTAATAAAATCTCTTTGAGATCATTACATCAATAATGGAAAGCATTATTGAAATATTTGAAGTACTTGAAATACTTGAAACATTGAAATAAATTTTTTAAAATATGAGAAAAATTAAACTTTTATTATAAGGATTTTTCGGTTGAAAGTTGGAATTCTACAAATAGAAAACATGTTAATTTCATTTATTAGGTGTACTGCAGTAGCAATGAATGAATGGAGGACAAAATTTAATAATAGCTTACAAAAACATTGCCTGTTTCATTTTTATAATGCAATTGAAATAATGGTGCAAAATTTTATAAATATCCTAAAGCCAATAGAATCTATAGTTTGGGCTAGTAAAATTCTAAACAAACTAGTAACCTCTAAAAAGTATGGGAGGATGCAGAGTGTACTTTTGTGCAAATAAGTTTTAATTTCAAAAAAGTTTTTTTTTTACATTTTAAAAGATTTTCAATTATATAATCACTACCAAGGGACATTTGTATATAGACCATTTAAATCTCACAACATACCAAAGTTTTTAAAGATAAAATTTAGATAAATACTCACACGAAAACTAATATGGTCAAATCTTAATGAAAATAGAAGAATATTACAGGAAGACAAAAAAAAAAAACACCAAAGAACTGGAAATTAATTCATCAATAGTATATGGGATAAGTTGTGAATAACTAGAAACATTGTAAAATAAAACATGATGGATATGCGACAGATAGAAAAATAGAGTTCACAAAATAGTTTAATTATACACACAGTCGACAGGAACCAACCAGATAATTAAGATATACAATAGTTGTTAAATAGGTCCTCTCACGGTTGCTTTGCAATAAGAATATTAGGACATAAAATGACTTCTTATCTCTCAATGCTTAAATCAATGCAATAAATATACCCTATTTTTTTATCATAATAATAATGTTATTAATGTTAATAATAGCCACTATGTCATTAGTTGAAGTGTAAAGTTCCACATTTACCTCCACACATAAGATTGTGAAGCACAATTTTTATCCAAATTTTTTTCTTTTAGTTTATGCAAAATGAATTATTCTCTTACCATTGCATCAAAATCTACATTTTATTTTTTACAAGCATAACCATTCAATGTTTTTTATTTGTATTTTAAAATATTATTATTTTATGTACATATATATATATATATATATATATATACATATAATACGATTTATTATTCTAGGAAGATTTTCCATGGTGGGCTCGTCCAAACTAGAGTTCCAGGTGTCTCCAATATCTCCATTCCGGAGCTTATTTTAGCACATTCACATTGAACTCTAAACCGGGGGCAGAAAAGTTTCAAACCGGGCAGGCGAATCCCATGTTGGGCAGCAGCAGGGGGGAGTGCAACATCTGCCCAAGACCTTCAAGGAAGCATCTAGAATCCAACGAAAGGTCAGGCAAGTTAAAGATAGAGAGAGGATAAAGGATAGAGAATCGGGATCTCTTTTGGGACCTGGGACTAGTCCCGTTCCATGTGCCGTGGCCCACGGTACAGCTGGCGTCATCAATTGGGCCCTTTCCTTTCACGGTAATAGGTAACTGTGCTCCTTTACCGCGGAAATGGGTGCTGTAGAAGGCTCTCCTTTCGCGTGCACACTCAAGACCACAAAATTCTTGACACAATTGGAATTCTTCTCGTTTTAAAATTCCATGGAGGTCTCAAATACGTAAAGATGATCTACCACACTTATCACCACGGTGTGCTTTTTTCTAGCTTTTTGCGGTGATTTGTTTGATTATCATTAGTGTAACCCAATCAATGAAGAATTAATGGGGATGAGTCTAAGTTCACCACAGTTGTCCACAATCCGTAGAAATACATTATCTGGACAGTGGTACCGCTTTATTCTGTCTGTGATGCACTGCAATGAGCTGGTGTCATGGGGTGTCAGCGGCAGCGGCGGCATTTGAGTTGTGCGTCAGGCATCCAATGCTGCGTTACAGACAGTTAGGCAGGAGGAGCTCCATAATCTGGTGTGTGTGCCTTGAGGGAGTAAGCTGCCACAATTGTGCACATTAAACTATCGTTTAGTTTTTTTTATGTCATGAAAACGAAGGGCTCATTCTGATGGTGTGAGCCTTTTTCCTCCAGGACCATGGACGATGTCTAATTGTCTAAAGTATGGTCACGTAACACAACACCAGGAAGCTGGCCGTTGCTGCTGAAGAATGGTACCATTGTTTCAGGGTAGAAGCTCATTGAAGGAGGGAGAAGGGCATGATGTGCGCTCACCCACCCAGAGATCCGATCTGCTTCGGGTCTGATCCAATGCTGCAAGTGTCGGATTGTATTGAAAAGCATGCCATGCTCGTGGATCGCCGCTCATCTGCGATCGGGTACGTCGGCTTCCCCAGAGAAGAAGGGCTTTTGCTTCCCCCATTCAAATCCCTTATGTGGAAGAATCTGGAACAGAGGGAACCTGATCTCCAGTGGGTGCTGGCCTCCCCGTACTTCCGTAAATCCTTTGTCCCTGAGTACAGGTCGACGTATTAGCAGTTCCCTTCGGTTAACTTCGGACAGTGCAAGAAAGGTAACAGGGAAGTAACTTGCCGCTTCTGGAAAATGACGCTAGTCCAACTGACGATGACGACGACGACGACCGCCGTAATGGAATCTATAATGGGGCGGAACCCTCATAAACCATGCTTCGAAAGAGACAGGCCTCATTGTTATAGGAGAAAGAAAAGCTGCACACGCAAATGGGCGTTAATTTCTGTATTGTGATTTCCCCCCTCGTTTGTGTCCAAAAAAGAGGAAAAGCTGATCACGCTTCCGGTGTTTGCGTACCCCCATCTCTCTCATAATGGGCCATGATAATAAAGTTGGTGAGCGGCTCAGCCCCTCCGCACTCCCCTTCATACCGCCCACACCAACCAGAGCTTTCATTCATTGACAGGAATAAACCGCCACGTTGGGCTTCCTTTTACTCTCAATCGTCGTCGTCTTCTACTTCTTCTTGTTCGTCATCATCTTTTTCCTCCTTCCTTGATTTAATTTACTTTTGCCGCCGTTCCCTAGTGAAAATACTGGATCTACAGCGCAGTGACTCGAAAGTTCGTTCGGCGTAGGTGGCGGTAACCTATATTAGGACTATGACAGCGTAATTGGAACACCAGAAGCTACTCTCTCTCCCCTCATGTCTCCCACACCATCCACAGAGCAGATGGAGCTGAGTCATTGTCCAAAATTTCTACGAATAACTTTTTCCGGCATTCGCCAGCCTTGTTTATCATTTCACCACGTCCAAACGTTTACGATATGGCATTCCGTGTTGGAACGAAAGGAGCGGTTAAATTGCAGAGATAGTACATGCTGAGAATAGAATTCATCCTGGACTTAACCTTTAGACCAGCAAGGCTATGCTTTGACCCTCTCCCCCCCACCCACAGGCTCTAAATTCGATAAATCTAGATTCCGCGCGATCGTGGTCGTTGGGAATGCAAATGTGTGCTAGAAAGAGAGATCACTCCTTGACCTGTTACCGCTACCCTCCAGTAAATCGATCCGCCCATCCCGAGTCTAGATTGGGCTGGGTAGGGGCAGCGATTCCGGGTGGGGGCTTGCCGCATGCCTTGTCTATTCGCCCGCCAGACATGATTCTTTCCTAGTCGTGGTGTCCCGCTGCATGTGTTTGCAGGAGCGAAGGCGTTGGTTCAGTTCAGTCGAGTCGAGTCGAGCAGCAGGCAGGACTGGTTGTTGATTGATCTAGCAGCTTGGGAGTAGTTTGTAGCGAGCGAACCTTTGCACGGAGTTCTTAAATGGGAGCTGTGAATGACTGTGATGATCGATAATCCGCCTCGTACGGTGTCCGAGTTCTCAATCATCTGAGAATCTCTTGATCAGAGATTGAGCTTATGAGCATGTTGGATAGTATCGATTCGTAGATTCTTATTAGTGCAATCAATTCTGGCGACTTCGTCAATTAGGCTCCAGAGCGCGCTAACTCAGTGCAGGGAAAAGAAAAAAAACAATGGCTGTTGTGGCTTGCACTTGAGGGTGAGTTGTGGGGAAGAAAGGGAAGGGGGAGGGAGTAGCCGTCGTTTTGATGCACTACTTGTGGGGGTTATGGGCTAAGCCAGTCCATCCTCACTGGAAACGAACAGGGAAGAAGATTTATACGAGATTTAAGCTTCTGGTGCTTGGAGTGCTGGAATAGGGGATCCCAATGATGCTCTGAGTATTGCATGCAATGGGGAGAATCAGGGTTGAGAGTGGACGTCGCGAAGTGGTTGTGACAGAGATGCTGCGGAGCTCAGTGTGCGGATGGAAGGACTTGATATTGATGCCAGTGAAGAAATTTGTGACTACAGAAGCATTGCGCACATGGGTTTGGACGTTGTTGTTTGCGGCCTCGATGGCTATGGCACATGTGAACGGAGAGGCGACATTGAACAGCCGTGATACTGGCATGGACTCCAACTACTCACCGGTGTGGCCGCAACCGCACAAGCTGGAAGCGGAGGGTTTTCTTGCGAGTCAGTGGCGTGGTATGGGGGCGGAGGTCGTGGGGAGTTTGTTCTCTTTGCTTTGCATCTTCATCGTGGGTGTTACGACAGGCTTGTGTTGGAAGGCAAACCAGAGAGGGGTGCCGGATGGTAGCATGGGGAGGGAGATTGTGGTTGTGGACCCTCCGAAGCCACTTACCCCCGCGCTCATGTCATGTACCAGCAACAGCCCGCGGTTGCTTCGAACTTCGACCGTAGGCGTCGTGAGGAAGTATACCGTGACTGACATCGAGGTCATGACAAATAATTTTCGGCAGGAGCTTGGGAAAGGTGGCCAAGGGGTAGTCTACTTTGCGAGGTCGCTCCCGGACGAGCCAATCGAGCGGCCGCTGGCAGTGAAGCGGCTGCAAAAGGGCACCAATGTGTTGCTTCAGAACTTGGACAATCCCACCCAGGAGGAAATAGAGAAGGAGTTCTGGGCGGAGCTGAACGTGATCTCCCGCCTGCACCATCGCAACCTTGTGGCGCTCCTTGGTTTCTGTATCGAGGGAGATGATTTGTTTCTGGTATATGAGTATATGGCGAATGGCTCCCTCGATCAGCACCTGCACAAAAGCCCTGACCGTGAAGATGGGTCAACTGCGTTTAATTGGAGAGCTCGCATGCGCTGCGCGGCTGAGGTAGCGCAAGGACTAGACTACCTTCACAGCCATGCGAACCCGTCGCTGGTGCACAGAGACATCAAGTCAGGGAACATTTTGTTCGATGACGAGATGCAAGCGAAGATTGCAGATTTCGGGCTGAGTAAGCCGCTCCTGCCTGACCATCCAGTGACGGTGTCAACGCGTGTGCGGGGCACTCATGGCTATGTCGACCCTGTGTATTTGATCAATGGTACGCCGTGCGACAAGAATGACGTTTACAGCTTCGGGGTCGTGCTTTTGGAGCTCATTACTGGCCGGCGTGCCATCCAACAACGAGTCAGCGTGGTCACTTGGTGCAAGGACTTTCTTAACATTGAGGAGACCGTGATGAGGCATTTGCTCCCCCGCATGGTTGACAGCCGAATTAGCCCTCTCGACGTCTCCTATGACCAGCTCTACGAAGTGGTGAAAGTTGCTCAAATGTGCGTCGACGAGCGGCAAGAGAATCGCCCTAGCATGAAAGACGTGGTCGTGTGGTTGCATAACGCCCATTGCAAGGAGTACTCCAGCTCTGAATGCAGCAGCCTCGATGTAATAAATCCTTGCACTTCACTTCTGGTGCATCGAGTTCGTTTCGATGTATTCGCTCCTCTGTTTCCTCCCAATCCTCGCACAGTCGCTCTGACGGAACGTTAAGTCCCAATTTAATTGCTGATTTGGATTCTTGGTTTTTGTTTTTGTTTTTGTTTTGTAGACTTCGTTGGATTCTACTTTCAGCAATGGCTCCACTTTCAGCTCCTTCAACGATCGTCCAAGACTCCATCAATCTATTTTCGCCCGGAATAGCAGCGGGTAGGCTTCTTTTCCTGTCCTCTCGACATACCCTTTCCATTTCTCCTCGTCGCGTGCCTTGCAAATGTGTACTGTGATAATAGGAAGGCATTCCTCGTGAAGGAACCTTAACTAGTGACAGTTTGAATCTCCGCCTGAACCTCTTTGGTGGCTTTTGTGTAGGTTGCCTTCGTATGAGATCCGAGATAATACGATCATTGTAAAGTGCACTGTGGGAAATAACCAGAGGATCTCGTTACGGTGTAAAATCTGGCCGACACAGAAAAACTTCGGGTTGAATAAGATCGAGGCAACCCTAAACGGCGCTTTCCTGTGGAAGAAGGGCCTATGGTTTTACAATGCGAAGAGCAGCCGCGAATTCACAATAGATGATGAGATAAAACTGATCGCTGAGTGGCACGTTACGCTGAGAACTCCTCCCATACTCAGTAAACACCCTCTTCCTTCGCACGATCCTCGGAGAAGCCAAGGTCCATTTTGTGTAGAATATCTTGCACTCAAGGATGAGAACGGGAGAGTTCTTATAGAGTATGAGGGTGACAAGTCGCCCCTTCCAGAAGATTCGAACTCCAATTCGGTATGCATTTGTGGCTCCCATCTCGCTGCCTCTCATGTCTGCTGATTCCTGACCTCTCGGTCGATTTGTGGTTGCTTGAAAAATGTGTGACAGCTACGCATACTGCTAGATCATGTAGGCAGTGAGAATCAACAATTCGACATCCTCCGCCACGAGAGATCTCTAGAATAATAATTCACTGAATGCATGGACATTTGCGTAGGCTTCGAGAAGGAAGAGCTCTTTCAGGGGTGGACACAGGAGAGAGACGTGGGAACCCAATGCAGATGGTCTTACTGCATCAAACCAGACCGGTGCAATAGTGTGTTGTGCCGCGCCTTGGGCTTAGCAATGTAAGTCGCTAGGAGACCCTTTTCCACCCTTCGCAAGATAAACTATTTGTCATGTCCCCGCTTTCATTGCATCGCACTGAAAGTCACGTTCGAACGAGCCATGTACTGAGGCGACAAGTGAGATCACGCTAGAGCGTTTCCCAAGGCTGATTGCATACTCTTGCATTTTCCACTTAGCACGTCTCAATGGGGTATTGCGGGAATTATCTGACGAAGCAAAGATTCAGTATCTATCTACTGCATGATGCTTAAGGTAATCTCCGTGTTTGTTTCAGAGGACGAGCTCTGTGCCTAGGCACACCAGAACGAGGTCGGGATCGGGGTCGGGTTCAGCAGGACGCCGAAGCATGAGCAACCGCAAGCAAATGGTCGCAAGGCGGAATTCAACCGGCATGCCCCAGTTCTTCTGAGACATTTTCAACTAGTTTCTTCCAAGATTTTAACCGTAAACTAGTCGGAAATATGATGAAAGTTGCCACCACCTGAGCACGCCCCTGCAAACGGCCTGTCTGCTATGTCGTCATGCCTGCTACCGGAGAACCATGAAGAACCAAATCTCCGAACCAGTGTTTTTTTTCTTAACACTCTCGATCGGAATTTTCCCAGAACAGGCCAACACATCCCATTCGGTGCGAACAATAAACAAGCACAAGCACTAGCTTGATCACGCATTGACATAGCAAGGTTTGCATGGGCATGAAAACTGCTACTGATGCTGGTGCATATTCTCAGGAAATGGATGTAGAGTTCATCGCAGCCACCTCACGCTTCATTGATAGTTTCTCAGAGATAGTAAGTGTACAGTCGGTTCGTGTCCTAGTATCATCGAAGTTGTACATATGAGAAGGCCTCAGCAAGTAGAGGCGATCTCGAGGCATCCATTTTTACACACCCGCAGATTACTCGAAAGTAAATGTACTGCGTTGAACTGTTCTCGAATTTTGCTCCATTGCTCAACATCCCCTGCTTTCGAGTTGCTCCTATAATAACGCATTCAGAATTCAAGGTCGTTGTATTCATAAATCCACATATCCAGCCATCACTAACATTTTCAGTGTATCCCACCCTAGTTTTGAACGCGTTCAACTAACAGTAAAGCGTAATTACTTCAATCTATACATCTTAGACCGCTTCAAGGAAATTACGAAGGAGACGCAGTCATATAGCGTTATTATTAGAGATGACATTCTTCGACGACTCTATCCTCGCAACAGTGAAAATTTCTCCTGTCCATTCCTTACGTGCACACAGGGATCCCTGGAATCATGTGCAGTTGAAGCGATGACGCAGAGAGCTAGATCTGATGGGGATTGATGCAAGCGGTGTCTTGGTCACGGAAGACGCAGCACACCAAACACAGAATCGAAGCTGTGAAATGCCGATTCCATCGCTGAGCTGCGATTGTACCCAGTAGTTGTCTCACCCAGCATCTGTGGGGGCGGGAAGACGTGCGCAACTTCATCGATACAAGCATCAATCTGAGACCTCGGCGATGACGACGATGAGGAGGAAAGAGAAGAAATGTGATTGTCTTCGATCCTCTTTCGTACTTCGGTGGGTGGCAATGGACCTGTAATATTTCCCACCATTTTTTCTTTATTTTGGTTCAATATATATATAATGGAATGTTAATTAGCCCCATGCTTTTACTAAATAGACCCACACTTGATGAAGAATAGGATAATCATGATGAATGTTGTTGGTTTTTATTGGTTGCAGATCCAATAGTGGAGAAATAAATCTATAGGTTATTTTTTCAAGATGGGTGAGTCGATTTAGTAAAAACTTTTGTCTATTTAACATTCCCTTTTATTTATTTATATATATACATGAATGTACATGAATGCACATGTACATGAAAAGGTCTTTCGATAACCCCACTTTTTGGTCCAGAATAAACTTGAATCACCAATTACCAAAGAATGACAGATTGCATTAAAAAGTATCTCTCCAAGTTTAGTGGATTGTATACCAACGGTGAAATTCCAATTCCAATCCTTCCGGATCAATTCTAGCATCTTGTTTTGCCAAAATTAAAAGAACTCAGAAATGATACTCTTTTTCTAAGTAAGCAAGAGAATACTTTTCTTCAATTCTAATTTGACTTTTTCTTTTTTTAATTTAATTAATGGAATTTAATTTTATGATATTTATTTATTAAGGAATTTTTGTCTAATTTATCTTTTACTTGAAATTTTATATCCAAACTTAATTGTCTACAAAGAAATAACTAATACATATCATAATTCATCACGTAAATAAATATCACATATATGAACTACTAGTATTTTTTTAAATAATTATATTCTTAACAAGAACAATATAAACCAAGAAATTATAAGTGGTTCAATTGAAAGAAGTAAAATGTGATTTTTATGAGGTTAGTGGAATTGATAAATATTATAATTTGTTGCAAGAGAATAATTATAATATTTAGAATGATAAAATAAAAAAATTGCACATACACACAAAATATTTCTTATGTCTAAAATATTTTATTTTATTTTTCTAAAATTATAAATTATAAATTTACCTCTAAGTGTTTTTGCTTTCTTATAAATGCATTATTTTTCATATTAGAGTACATAAATCTTAATTCAAATTAGAAATGATCATTAGATCTTTTTTTTATATTTTGTGAATGTCAATTGGAAGACATTGTAATCTATTTCTAAACAAAAAGAATCATGACAATCATAATAGAAATAAAATAAACATTAGAAACATTAGAAACAATCTATGAAACTATTAGAATAAAAAAAACAAGAAAGGTAGCTCTAAATTTTTTTTTGTGGTAGTTGGGTGAGTAGTCCAAATTGTACCAAGTTGCAATTCTTGTAGAAAGAGTAGAGATTGTTAAATTGTATTGTTAGAAACTTGCACATTAGAAGTTAAGTTTAGATTCAGATTTGTGACAGTCTTATGCATCTTGTGTGAGGAGGATTGATTGGGCGATAAGACAAATATGAAACAATATATATATATATATATACACACAATAGGACATGATCAAGATTAAATCAATTTTACTTTATGATATGTTGGCCACTCTGTTCTTCGTTTACGAAGTTTTAAGAACAAAATTTAGAAGTAGAATAAACTACCAAAATAGAAAAATAATATATCACATGCAATGGCCAGAATGCTTTTATACTCTACAATACACTTTAGGTTTTAACCGCTTTATATTTTCATCCTTATTGATTCCTTTAACTTTCTCCAAAAAGTAGACAAATGACCCATTTAGATTCATAGAAGTTCATTCACCAATCCGTTCTTTTCCTTTGATGCCCACATAATCCATACTTTCCCTTCGATCTCCAATAAAGATAACTCGGAAAAAATAAGTGAAGGTGACGATTTAGCACGTAAAGGTGCTTCTTGTTCAGTGTCAAATCTCAGAGACATTCTCCACTTAATGTTGCGAAGAATATATTCACAAGCATCTGAATTTGTCGATTAATCAGGATACTAGTCTCAAACGTCCACAGAAGAGTATCAGCTATGCTCTGTGACCAACTGCAGAACTGGTTGGGTTTTGTACAAATTTACTTATAAACCCAACTCTGATTCAAGCTCTTGTATCAACAGGTGGGAAAAATTCCAATCTCATGACTATTAATATTTCTCTAGAATTGATAGACGAAGCAACCATGAATCTCCGAACAATCAAAACATCGTGTATTTATTCACTATTGAGAGATTGCTAGAAAATGTACACGCAAGATTCTCAGAAACTCAGAGGTCCAACCTCCAGCTAGAAAATAAAAGGGGGAAAAATACCGCAGGCTATTACACACTCTTCATACCGGTCAGACAAAATCTGATCAACCTATCAAACACTCTACAAACTCAAACTCTCCGCGAGGCCAATAAGCTGGTCTACGTTTGACACAAACTAGATCCTATTCACAGTTGACCCAAAAACTGAACCTCGCGGTAACACTGCTATTGATACAAATTTTCGATCGTAAAGCGACTATTCTTTTCAAGTCCACCAAGTATCTACACTCCCATCAACTAAGCCTGCAGGCAAACTGGGTAAACTAGTCAAACTGGGCAAACTAGGTGCAGAGTACACCCTCTCCGGTTTCATTGTCAGGACAGGGATCTGGGGCTGCAATGCTGCAGAGGGTGGCCCTAATGACACCGGCTCAAGGTCCCCAGGAGAAGGAGAAACGCCAGAGCTAGTATAAGAAGCTGAAATAGCTCCGCCTCCATCATATGAATGCCTTCGAGGCGTCCCTGCATCTGCGGTGTTGTCTGAATATGCTAGCAATAGTGATGCTCTTTGTTGGGTATGATCTGCATCCCCACTTCTTGGACTAACCAATAAGGCGTTGGATTGAGGAGTTCCAGCTTGACCAGAAACCGAGGAGGTATCTTCGCCAGTATCCTGCTACAAAACAGGAAATTCATGATTAAGCTTACTTCGAGGAAGGTACACAATCGGGATAGTTGTATAAAAAAGACTAAACCTCTTGAAAAATCAATCGGCTCAAAATAACCAAGAATCATTAACATACCGAACTAGATTGAGCAGCAGCGCTTGGAGCACTTGTCAAATCCTGTGTCCCAGTGGACTTTCCTTTTATTTCTTTATTAACATAAACTGAGAGATATAGTTTCTGTTCAACAAAAAAAGAGGGGAACAATAACTTCTGAGATGAATCATGCAACAATATTTTCCACCTTCCATCATAAGGTTCTGACATATAAATATGTTCCAAGAACAATAAGTTAGGCAATTTGCCAAAAGGATTTCAAAAAGCTGCAACCTTTCAGAATGATTCAACATGTGAAGTTACCGGGAATATTTCTATTAAAGCTACGTTAAGACTGGTACTTACATGTTCTTCAAAGTCAGGGCTGGCCAGGTTGATGGAGAGGTTACGCATCAAAAGTAGAACCTGCGGAACACAAAGGGCACAATATTAGGGGAAAATAGTTGCCAGTCATTTAGCATTCCATCTAGTCACCGACTTTATCCTAACCAGCTATTCCCACGCACTTCATCAATTCATGTGCAATTCTACAAACATTAATGAACTTAGAGGCATGTACTACAGAAAAAGAAAACTTTCCTGTCCTTAATTGGGTGATCACTTGTTACAAAACTCTCTAATATTAGAACACCAGTCCTCGGTGACGTAAATTTCCTGTTCCTTCAGCAGTTAAAAATTAAAATCACAGAACACTAACCGTTTCGCGATCAATAGGAGACATCTCCTTGAGCTTCCGAAGGTGGCCGGAAACACCTGGGTCGAAGACACTGCCGATAAACTTGTAAACTTCCGTAAAATCAGGAGCAGCTGGTGGATAGGGAGGAAACGATTTCATGTGTCAATTTAGCCAATGAAAGGGACCAATAGCGTTACTATACACCTAGAATTCAACTTTGCGAAAAGTGAACATAAGAATAAGAATAAGCATACAAAGAATTGATTGATTCTCATACATTTAAACGATTTACAATATTCGACAGATTCAACTAACGAACAACAAAAAAACAATAGGAACTAATCAACTTACCTCGTATACAAGACTCAGGTGCAATTTGACTTGCGGGAAGAACATGTTGTGGCCACCCTCCAGGAGAACTTCCACTAATGCTGTTACTAGATGCGCGAACTGCAGTCAAACTCACGCCCTCAACTTCTGATTTGATACCTGTATGAGATGAAAGGTCAGTAGAAAAAAAAAGTATCGGTGAAGAAAATTACCGTAACAAATAAGTTGCACCCAGTGAATTTTCTTCTGGCAATGTTTCTGACAGTATTTCAGGGGAAAAAAATTTCAGAAAACTATAAATCCTTAAAACCAAAGGAAACTTTCGAACGTAGTAATGGTATGGAGTGTACACCAAAATGCAATCGTCATTTTAGTGTGCTTGACAAACGAACTTTGTCAAAATAACCAAACAACCAGAACTGTATCCGTTCCTAATCACAAAAAAGAGTCGGCTGAGAGGGGAAAAAAGTTGAGGATAATTCTCCGTCCCGCGACCAGATTCAAATTGTTATATGATTAGTCTTCTAGAATCCACTAGTAAAGGAAGAATGGGATCGATTTAAGCAGGGCAATATCAGTTTGAGAAACAGCTCGGAGTCGACGCAGTCGATGACCAAGGACTCACCAGGAGCATCATATGAAATACTCGGATTAGGAGACACTGAATGTTGAACCCAGGCTGATACAGACGGACTAGCAGAGGACATGGGAGGTACATGAGAACCTGTACCATAGCTAGACTCTGCCTGCACAGCTTGAGCATTTAAACCATCTGAAACTTGTACTTGTGCTGGTACTTCACACCCCAACAAAGTATATGCTCATGTTAGTGTTAAATCAAGAATTCACAAGTTAATAAGTGTTAGTTATGTTCTAAAACGGGATCACGCATATTCGTGAATTGTACAGAAGTGACCCTGCCGCAGAACGAGAAACTGATACAGTAATAACCTGACCGGCGGCGAAACTGTCAAGTATACAAGATCTTCCAGTGATTACGACACACTGACTTACCGAAGACTTCCTTGCGACAGTGTAGCTTACAATCCACAACTAATCATCTGTACATGGTGGCACATAATCACATTTCAACGTAGGAATAGATGAAAAAGACTGTACCACATTTTGGTGCCTTCTGTGGATATGGTTGAGCTGACTTGCGTTTCGGTCGTGGCGGAGGAACATGTTCCCCAGTTCCATTCTTCTGTACTTTTAAAAAATATTTTTGAGCGTGACTTCGGATCTGCATAAAAATGGATTTTAAAGATAAATAACACCGACAATAAGAAAATGAATTCACTTCTATAGGCCAAGTTTGTTTTGGTCGCATAAACTGACCTTGGACTTTTAGCAATCGTAAACGATAAAAACTAGACAGACTGCAAACAACCAAACTAAATATCAGTTCAAACTAGCAGGGCAAATGCATACTGGAATGAAAGCAATTCACAAAAGGCAGCTTGTCCAAGGAAAATATCAATGCTCATCTTCCCATGGCTACTAATATTCTGCAGTGATTAGATTATAAGAGGATACAGTGAGAATGAAAACGATGATTGAAAAAACCAATGAAGACAATGCTGTACCTGTATTACTGTCTTAGACCCCACGAAAGCTTCGATTTTTTTCCAGTCGCGATCGAATCTGTAAAGGCGAGACACACATTAGTGTCATTGATCCTGCGTATTAAAATTCCCACGAGAGGACGCTCGTAACATTGAAGAGGTGAAAAGAGATGAAAAAGGTGACAACATTCCGTATGCATTGAAGACAAACACACTCCTATCTTGTGGTAGATACATAGATTACCGAAAAGAAGTTTGTGTGAAATGTAACATAACTAAAAGCTGGTCTACCCATTCAAGTATTATCGCTCATCTTTTCAGAAAAGTTTTACAGTGAACGAGACAGAACAACGCCTGACGACCGCTTCAATTTACGCAAGTAATCCACTTTGGACATCAACCTTCGACAGATCATTTTATTACCTAGGCTTGGAAAATCTAATGGCAAAGTTACTCCCCAACCAATAACAAGGAGAAGGGTGCTAGAAACTGTCAATATTCCAAATGCACACTGTAACTAAACTACTGAATGCCATCTTCATGGTAGTTGAACAAATTTTTAACTTTGAAGACACTGAGGGGAATGCAAGGCTTCTACATGTCCAATCATGCACCCAAACATTAAACGAGTGGAAGGCAAAAATTCTATACTTCGAAGATCTAGAAGGTAGGAAGTTAAGATGTTATAGACTCGGCTAGTCCGTTGGTAACAGACTGAAATAACTGGTATCGAGGTAAGAAACGCTCACAGTTGTAAGGCCTCAAGAAATTTATCGTGCTCCTGCTCAGTCCAGCTTTCCCTCGACTTGGTGATGGTGTAAGGCTTTCTAATCTTTTTAGAGCCCTCTTCTGACACAGACACTGAAGGGATGCCAGGTACTGTGGAGCCTGCTACCATAACACCTAGCATCTCAACACTCGCAGCATTCATGTGCGGCTTGTTCAAGGTCCTCGTGCTCAACTCCAATTTTTATTTATTTATTTATTTTCTGTTTACTTATTCCAGCTGTGTGGTATAAACTTGTGCGCAATCCTAAGCGCACATCTTCGACAGCTCTGTAGCACGATGATTCTGAATTCAAACACAGTATTTATTTGCAATAGTCAAGTCCTGTGAAACCTGGAACATGATGGGGGAAGTTAGCAACATCGAACACTGGCAATTTCCAGCAGCACAGCCAATCACACATTTCCCAACAAACTACCTAGAATACCAGATCTAAGATATATCCACAGGGTCCTGACACAGGTAGAGCACCATGAAACGGAGTGATTTAAAGGACTATCCAATAACCACACCACTCTAGCTAATACATAAGTACGCGGAATTCGAGAAGACCTAAACTTATTCAAACCAGATAACATACGACAAGGTGCAAACTCAAAGCTCAACCAGCAAAATGGAAGAAACTAGTATAAACTTAACAGCAGCAAAACTAAGCATCTCTATCTATGGGATACCACCAAAAAAAAAAAAAAAAAAAAAAAAAAAAAGAGAAAAGACTGGAAGTGATCGTTTCCTCTGCAAAGCATTGCTACGAATCAGAAAAGCTGCAGAGCTACCCGCACATCGTTTGTCTCGAACCTAAGGAAAAAGCCCAAAACAAGAAGCTAGCAAACGGGCACAGACGGTGAGTGGGCAGAGAAATGCACAGACCTCTGCTCATCTGTCAGAAAACCCTCAAAAAACTAAGAAACGAGCTCCAAGCGCAAAAACCGCTACAAAACGGACAGAGGATCTTATGCCGCTCCAAATTTCACGGCCGGACGACAACTCCGTAACCACCAGATTCAACCACAATCCACAGAAATAAGACCTAATCTCCAAAGTATTCCCGCAAACCAGTCACCACAACGGCAACCAAACCTCAAAGCGAAACTCAAATCACTCCGAAAATCTAAAGCCACCAACACTACTACTACTACCACCATCCGTTCACCACTACTTGCATTCCTCTCCCAAAACTCCACAAGCCAAATATTAGCCATCTACCCATGGCACTGCCTCGATTTCCAGCCAAAAAAAATGATGTACAACATTTTCAAGGAAAGACCACGCACCCTCGGATAGCCAAGCATAGTGCAAAGGGAGAAAAATATATATATGTCCACTCACTACTACGCGCAAGGGAGCGACGCCGAATGATCCGATTGTAAAACAGATTTTGCTGGTAGGAGCGATTGTGACAAAGAATAGAAGGGAAAGGAGTGAAGAAGGATTGATCAGGGCGGGGCGGCAAAGAAGGAGGGGTGCAAGATGAGGCGCAACAGGGTTGGGCAGGAAGGAAGGGGGAGACCGAGCGATACTGAAGATCGGCCTTGCCCATAGCCTGGCTTTGGCCATAGCCATAGCTCCCTCGCTCTCACCTCCCTCTTCCTCACTGTCTGGGTGGGCAGCGCCTGGTCCCACCGCCTCCAACGAGAGAGACGCGGTAACTTCTAAGTTCCCATGTCCCCCTTTCTCCACTGGACTGTGAAAATTTCCTGTTTACCTGGATAGCTTTGTGGCCACATGTTTATCCAGCGGCCACGGTCGTCATGACTTGGCACATCCACCTTGGATGGATGAATGACCAGATGAATGAATGAGTTGATGAGTGGATGGAGAGCTCTGAACCCGTTCACACCGAGCGGCGAGATCCGGTCAGTGGATGGGGGAACTGGCAGGGGCAGACTGAGCCAATAGTGGCTGTTCTGGTGTGAAGGATGTTCTTGCGGTGTCCATCTCGGTTTGTTTTGCTTGGTTAACTCCAATGGGTCGTTAGTGTTTTATTTTTTTATTTTTTTTACCCCAATTTTTAGGAATTCCACAATGTGCTTTTCTTGATTGATTGAGATTCAAGCAATCCCAAAGTATTAAGAGAATAACATGTAAGCATGTATGTATGTAAGTCAAAGTTGTTTTCCCTTCTAAGAAAGAAGAATGATAATATATTTTGATTATTATTGCAGGAAAAAAGAAAAAAGAAAAAAGAAACAAAGGAAACAAACCCATGTAAGAAAACTACCCATGTGGGCCTGGGAACATCGGTGTGCACAATAGTGATTGTGCATATTCAGATCTTAAAGAGTAAGGTCAACCCCTTGAAGATTTTGAGTCATCATACATGTATATGTCCACATGTACTGTTTCCTTTACAAAAAATGATAACTAATACTGGTTATACTTATTTGCACAAATTTAACATGATCAAAATATTAAACTTGTGTAATGCTCACAGTCAATAGTTTGTGTAGGCATTCAAGTAAAAAATGAACAAGATTCAGTCATTGGAGACTTGAGCATTTCTTGAACAAGGCTACACAACAAGGTTTCAACACATAAAAAATCAAAATCAAAATCATAACAAAAAATGTAAAAACACATTATTAAAATAATACATATGTATGTAAGTCAAAACCCACATTGAATGTTGATGGTCTTATGAATCTGACTCTAAGAAAAGAAAAATGAACTAACAAAACCATGATGGTCTCCCACCATTCATGAAGGTGGGTGCATGAAAATGAGTTCCTGTCCAAGCCTGTGCATAACAGAAGTGAAACACATGGCAAAATAGACACTTAGTACCCACAATCAAGACAGATTGTTGATGTAGTGAAGGTCCATTATCTACACAGAACTGGACAAAATTAAAAAGAAGATGAAAACCTCCAATCAAACAAATCAACGAGAAGCAAAAAAGAGGAAGAAAGACGAAGAAGAAAAAGAAAAAGAGAAACAATGAACGAACGAAAACTAAACGAAAGCACGTGCCGACGGACGAAGAGTAAGAATAAGTGGCAGAAAAGGACGAAAACTGTGTCCATCTCTGTCGTTAAGAAGGAACCCATCTCTGCCCCGATCCAACGACCCTCAATCACCCCCAAAATCCGGGAGCCAACTCGTATTATGAAATCAGCCGCTTAGAGAATTGCATCAATGCTTCACTGCGTGAGACTCTGAAAAAGGTAAGGCATGCGTATGCATGACGTCACAAGAGAGAGGGCCAATGGCCTAATGTCTCTTTCCTTACTCCTCGAAGTGGAAACCAGCGGACCATGGTGTTCCCGATTATAGCGCCCTTGCCATCCCCAGGTTGACAAATGGCAGGGATCGATTGGCTCTGGTAGTGCTGTTGTTCCCTCATCAGTTTCCCATGTTCACATAACGTTCCCATTTGGCTTTTTCACTGTCAATTAATTTTTATTTATGATTCCATCATGTTCACATCATTTGGATATATTCTTTTTACAGTTATATATCTTTAGCACACGTTTTTGCAATGCGGTGTTTTATTCCGAATCTTTGATGGTTTAGTTAGTGTTCTACTTTTCTTTTTCAGTTTCTACACATTTTTTTAATTACACACACAAATTTTTGATTCCGAACTATGGATTTTAGATGTGAGATAAGACTGTGAAAAGGAACATGTGTTTTATGTAATTCCATCTGCTTTGATTCCGCATTGACTATTACAATATTCACAATCTAAAAATTTATGTCGCACACGTAGTAACGGAATTTACCCAGAAGCAGCAATCCCTTAGGATATCAGGGTTTCACCATGAAATGTAATCTTTATCCATTTCTTTGGAGAAAGGAAAACACACACACCATATACATATAAATCTCCTTCTCCTTCCTTCCTTCTTTTCTTTACTTTCTCTGTTTCCTTTCCTTTCCTTTACTTTTAATGCAAGACTCGACGTGGCCACATGGCATGACTGAACATAACGGAGCAATGGAACTGTGCTGAATATCATCTATCGAAGAACTGCTCGCTTTGCCGCGTGTTGTTCATCGACCCCCCGTTCTGTGATCCACGACTGTCCTGGCATTGGATAATTCCCCTGCGGTCATAGGAGGTGGAAGGATGTGACAGGTGACCGCACTGCTTGGTACATAACCGTGTGGCAGCCAGTACCAGTACAGGTGAGGAAGGGACCAGAGGAGAGATCGAGAGAGATCGAGAGAGATCAAGAGAGAGCCCGTGAGGAGGGCGCATGGAATTCCGTTGTCAGATCGGCGTTGGCTATGTCATCCCTGTCAAATGAATTCTGACAAAGTGATACTTCGCGTGACCTATTTGTCATGAGCGCAGAGCTTCCTTCTGCTGTTGCTGTGGGGCTGGCTGCGCCTTGTGTTGCCTGTAACAAATTCGCAGGTGAAAGGAGGCTTTTGCAATGCGCAGCCAGCTGTTGCAAACCTGGCATTCGGATATCCCGTTTCCGTCCAAGGTTTGCAATGGCTCGAATGTCTCTGGTTGTGACAAGTATAGAACCTGGCCTTGGAAGGAGTTTGGTTTCGCAGATGCTTCCACCTTGCGTGCTTGTGCAATATTTAGAAGGTGAGTGGAGTGGGAACGACCTAATCACTACACATTTACATTGTTTCAACATGTCAACTCAACAATTAGATGGGAGCAAGTTTCCGGGCGAGGAAGGACGAAGAGATACAAATTACATTCATGATTTGTCACAAGCTTCTAGCAACGTGCTTGAACTGTAATTGTCCTGATATCCAAGTTCAGCAACTAAATAGTTTTTGTGCTGAGCTCCCACCTATGCCCTTAATGCGGCTAATATGGTGGAGCAGGAATACTATCAGTATATTACGCGTGTTGTAACTATTTGCTCAATGATTTTATGCTGTAATTACTTTGTCTTTAATTTTTAATGGAAATTGGCAATGTTCCTTGTAGAATTTGCTTGTCAGTGTTAAATTTACAGAATCCTGCTTGCGGAAGTTCTGGAATCAAGAAGGGCAACCTCACAGAAACTGACTTTTCCTTTGTTTTTATCAGGACAAGTACGAATTCGCTTCTTCTTGCTCATAGTGTCATGTATCTGACCAGGATTACCTTCTGTCCTTGTTTGTAAGTATTTTTATTTGCTAGACCTGGCTGCTCGGACTCTGTCAGTATCCTGGAGTTTCATTTTGCTTGCAATGCCCTGAGAGCGCTCCCTGTGCTGGTGGCTCGCCACTATCATTCTTCCTTTACAGAGACTTTCACTGCATGAGGTTCTTCGCTTGTACCATGTCTCTTAAATAAAAACTGCTTGATGAATACAGCCAATAGACAGTGTAAGGCAAGCAATACAGAAATAGGAGATTGATGACATAGTGTCAACGTGAAATCCACTACAAGATACAACTTGCTCAGAAGGAAGTTGAAGATTAGAACATAGTTTTGGAGAATATTGGTGAATACACATGGAACTTCAAAAGCATTCTATCTCTAGTCTTTCATTCTATCTCTTAATTATAGAATTAGTAATTAGAAAATCACTTTTTTCAATGAAATCAGATCTATTTCCACCAAAAACATCAATCACTCACTCTCACTAAATGTTTTTTGTTTTCATTTTTATTTTCTTATTGACCTACATTGATTTTTCTAGATCTTTTCTGAATGACATCTAGCTTGTATGAAGCAAACAAACGTTTCTCTTCAGTTTTGGAGCTGTTCGGAACATGTTTCCAACTAGATTATTGACCCAACAAGCTCAAGCTGCTTGCACCACCGCCGTTTTCCAACCAAAGACCACCAGCCGAAGATTTGGTGGGAACATCAACACTGCCACCTTGCTGTGTGGACTCACGTGTCAGACTAATCACATTTTCCAACTAATGGAGAGATACGTAATACTATGCAGCAGGTTTCTAACGATGGCGTTTCCGCCTGGTTTCTCTGGAAGTAAGCTGTTTTCTCCCACATAAGGACAACAGACAAGTCCGAATTCAGAACCCAGCGATCAAGGAGGCTGGCAGAATCAAGGGACCATGATCGCAAACAAGCATGTCAGGTACTCTAAAAGAAATGTGCAGAATGACATCTAGATAAAAAGAACCCATATTTAGCTCAAATCTAGAAGAAACAGAGAGAGAGAGAGAGAGAGAGAGAGAGAGAGAGAGAAGGTAGAGAAAATCAAACAAGAAAGACAACCCAAATAAACAGCAAGCATGTCATCCGAGTAAAAGTTGAGGCGAATCAATGCAAGAACATATGATAACACAAAAAATGTCATGTCAAACTTTGATCGAAATAAATTGAAATCTATTTAACAACAAGCTACTGGTAAATTTTGTACAAAGCTTTTGAACTACAGTAGTCCTCGCCGACGTTTGTAATCATTCACAGTTAAAGTCAAGCTATGCCGCCGCCCATCGTTTTGCTCAACCTGCTCACACGAAAACACACTTATGCTCAGAGCGATGAATGGACACTATGCCTCATTTTAAAGTTGAGGGCACGGAATGCTAGGTAACTCCACACTTGCGTTCAAATTGAAACTGAACAAATGAACCGAAGTTCAAGGATCCGCAAGAGTTATTCCATCTCAATGCAGATACTAAGAGGGTTGAACATATTAAACGAGGGTCAAATACAATAAAGTAGCACTATTATGAGGTACGAAGCTGCTACACAACCTGAGAATCATCTGGAATCAATAACAAGAATACAGAAGACCTAGGCCACTAACCTGGACTCCACAACTGGCTTCAAGGTGAGCCTTTCGAGCCATGTAGGCCTGCACAAAGGCTTGGTGAACACCACCTGGACCCTTGGTATTCCCAAGCTTGCTTAATGAGATGGGTAACACAAAGTTGTGCAAAGCATAGAGTTTTCTCCTGTCAGCAGCAGCCTGTGATTCGACATGCTTCGCAATTTCGCTTTGTTCACTTGCCTTAATACCTGCCTTTTCTGCCCCATCTGTAATAGAATCATAGAGACGATTAGGAATACTAGGACTAGTCATACCTAAAAGTCAACAAAACTTGCCCTACAGCAGAAGAGAGTGATCAAGAGAATAGAGGGAACTTTGAAGAGAAAATTTGACACCGCGAAGAAAAACTGGTCATAGCCAGAAAAAACTTACTCCGACTTTTGGGACATATTTGTACATATATACCACCACTCTAGACTCGTTATATGGACAAACTTACAAAAGCTGCGTGAAGGTGAGATTTAGTCACAGAGCCGTTTCTCTCCTTTCTGAAATTGAAGGTGGAGGCGGGTTTCTAATACGAATCAACAAAAACTCTCCCTTATACTAAGAAAAGGGGGACAAATGCAGCTCAATTGTAAATTCACACTTACCCTCTGCATTGCTGCCTTCAACCGTCTCTTTCTCCTCCGTCTTCGGCTGTGACTGATAATAATTTTGACTGCGAGTCCAGCGGCGAGAGAAAGGATCATATCCTGCATCACCTTCTTTGGCAAAAGTGTTGACCGGCTTCAACATTGACGCATTCTTGAAATTCTCCATCCTGCATCCTCAAACAAGCTGTTCCATTAGTTCCTTACCACAACCAAACTACTCCTGGTGACAACCGAATTGAGAATCAGAAACCAAGTATCATTTTAAATGCTCAAAATAGTATTCAGAGATGAGCCAGTACTTGTTCCGCCGATTCATTTCTGCCAATGCCATAGCCTTGGCATCTTTGCTCTTTACTTGATTGGCAAACAATTCCAGCTCCTTTAGTCGTGACTGCAACTTCTCCACCTCAGCATGTTCCCCCTTCGATTCCGCTATGCCCAACTCTTTAATCAAGCGGTCTTTCTCTAAAGCAACATTTGCTGGACGAGAAGCGGCCATTTTCTTCTCTTGCAACATTTGCTTGACAGTAGATGCTGAATAAACGAACTGGTTAACCTTTGATATGGCCGCCTTCTTCTCCAATACATCTACCTTCAGAGGTCTGCGACCCTTAGCATTATCAACAGCTCGAAGGTAATCACTGATCTCTTTCTCTGAAATTACAATCGATCCAAAGTTAGTCCTTGGTCTTTACAAAATGCTCATGACGGCATAGCCAACTCTTCAATTATCTGGGAAGGAATCAAAATTCTAAAGTATTCCTTCTGAGAATAACTGCTGCAGCTAGGATACGAAGCACTATATTACGTGACCTAGACCTTGTCATGAAGAACTTACGTGAAGCTGGCTGATCAGAAGCTCGAACCATCTGCCACCTTGCTGCAGTAGATTCGTCTCCCCAGAAACAATTGAGATACTTGTATGTCATAAAATTTTCAAACTTATACTGCTTGTCCGGGTCCTTTGCGTCGACGTTCTTCACTTGGCACACACGATATATGCTTTGGCCAGAACTTGAAACCCCGATACCAATCCTAACGAAACAGCCAACAATAATTTCCTCGAAGAAAGGCTCCATAAACCACTTAGCAAGCTTTGAACGTCTAATTACGATGTCTTTTATTTCATCCTCTGTTGCCTCGGGCTCTCCCTTATCCTCAAGTTCATCGCCTGAGCCGCCCACATCGCTACGATCGTCATCTCTCTCGCTATCTCCATCGTCTTCACTCGGAGGATCTGATTCACTGGAATGTCCAAGTTATATTAGATTTCTTGTAAGTGAAAAAAATTTAAAAATTAGTTTCACATTGGTAGAACACAACAAATTAATCACACCAACTAACATTAAGGATGCATGAGATGTATTCTCATCTCAAAATGGATTACCTGAAACTCATACTCTGGCTGGGTTTTTTTCTTCCGGGAGAATGGGCCTCCCGGCTAGGAGTCATGCCCGAATCACGCCCCCTCTTTCGTAATGAGCTAGGATCTTGGGCCTTCTGCCTCCTGGCTACAAGCTCATTGAGAGCATTCTCCTTCTTGCTCCGAGTTCCTTCCCTTACTGAGGAACGCATTCGAGACGATGGGGGACCAAGATCTCTTTCTCGCCTATGATTTGGTGTCGAAAATTCAGCTTGTCTATTCCCTCGACTTTTCCTCAAAGCAAGCCAAGTGTCTCGCTTCTCACTACGATCAGCCAACTCCATCTCTCGTTCAAGCTCTGTCATTTGCGCCAGATTATGCCTGTCTTCTTCATCTCTATACAAATCACTTCCGTAGGAAAATTCACTATTATATCCATCATCTCTTGCACCGTCATCTCCATCTTTCTCGAATCTGCAAACGCGAGGGACCATCAAACTCAACTCAATAGGATCATACAGAAGGTACGCATTTCACGAACTTGTTATGACGTTCATAGATGAAGACATAGCATTTTACGAGGCCAAGCTCCACATTCGAAATATCACAAATTCGAATTAGCCCCACAAATCATCACAAGATGGCTGCTGATAATCTAACACACTGTGATATGACGTAAACGGGAAAACCTAGCACGTTCACGCAAATTTGAGTGCCCTAGTGCACATCCAGACGTTATAAAGGAATGACGTTCTTGCTCAAGTCAATTATGGCTGCTATGCCCCAATTCCAAAATCAACATGTTCAAGCCTAAGGGGACTAATAACTGCATTGTATTATCTGCCTTCACTGGTTTAAAACACAACTTAAGTCAAAGTGCAGCAGGAATTTGTACCGCTTTTTCAAAGGCATTTTGGATCCTTTCGCCTGCTTGCCAGAGCGACCCCCTCTGTCGTCGAATTCCTCGTCATCTTCATCATCGTTATCAGGACTCGAGTCACTACCGTCGTCTGAGCTCATCGACGAAGCTCGTCGACGCTTAGTCGGTGGACCGTGAGACCGGCCCCCACCGTCGCCCCCCTTCGGCCGCCCTGCAGCCTCCAGCAGCATGTCATCTAACGAAAAGTCTGCCATCGTTGCTTCGTTTCCGAAGCACTAAGAAAGAACAACCCCGCCTCTCCTCCAATTCTTAAAACAACAAACGCACAGCCAATCCTGTGAAACGAGATGCGTCCGACACAAACAAACCCTAATCCTCTACCCCAAACTTCAAACTCGACCGTTCGGAAAACTGCGAGACAAAGCACACTTCAACGAGCTCCAGACGCAACTATAGCGATGATATCCTCGCAATCAATCTTCACACAACGGCGAGAACAACAGCAACCATCCATCCGGATTTGGGCGAGACAATGGCTGCCTTACTCCGGGAAACGCTTTCAACAAGAACATCGAACTCTAATGCCAAAGCCACGAACTGCACCGATGTGAAGAACCCTGTTCTCACCGACACTGTGCCCTTCGCTTCAGTCCACGTCGGACTGCCACGTCAGAACTGTCACTGGGAGTTGTCCAATGTGGGGAGTTATTGGGAAAGGAAGGAGGACGCGTTCACACTGGAAAAATCTTATGTTCATGGAGGTGCTCACTAATAAGTGAGAGGATTTGAAAAGTGAACTAAACTAATTGAGAAGTACTATATTATTTGTTTCTAAACGTGATGTACTCTTTCACTTATAATATGCTCATAAACCAAAGAATGTCATGGATACACTATACAGGAGACTAAACAAGAAGTTGAACAAAAGAGTTTCAATAAGAAAGCTAACAAAAACTTTATTAAACCTAATGAGTACAAGATCAATACCAAGAGAGATGAATTATAGCTCCAAGAGATGTGTTGTTGAGATTGAGGATCTCCTCAGTCTTGATTCCAATATATACTAGGTATTAAGAAGCTTCTCAAGAAGTTTTCATATCGCTTGAAGATAAAGTAATCCTAATAAGCTTCTTGAATAACTTCTTTAATCCTTCTTGAATTTTTTAGAACTTATTGAAATATTTTAAGAACCTTCTAGAAATATTTTAAGAATCTTTTAGAACCTTTTAAAATCTAACAAAATATTCTAAAACATTCATAAAATCTTCTTGTTGGATGTCCATAACTTCACCTTCTCTTTTAATTCCAAGTTCTACGAAGAGTATCGATTTTATATCTACTTTCTTTGTTATATACAACATCCTAAGAATAGCTTTATAGAAAAGTAATCCTAAAATAGATTTAGATTTTTGAAAATAGTATTGATGAAATTCTTGTATCTTTTATGATATATTAATTAGATTTTTTTGCTTGTTCCCACATATGCTCATTGATATTGTAACCATGCCAATGAATAAAATATTCCAACTGGCCTTTTTTTTGTCAAGAATGAAGGATCTTTTCCACTTCATATTCTACATGATTATCTATTTCAATGGAAGGCAATGATGGTTCTATTCTTCTTGAAATAGTTAATTCTAAATAAACCTCTAAGAGAGAAACATGAAAGACTAGATATACCTTCATAGATGTAGGTAGTTCCAACCAATGAGTCATTGAATTGATTTACTTTTGAATACAAAATGGCCCCAATCTTTGGTAGTCCAACTTATTACAAGGCCAATTGGTCTTAATATTTTGTCAAAGAAGCCATATTTTATCTCCAACTTGAAGAGTACAAAATTCTTTTTTAAATTTGATATAAGATGCTTTGTAAGAATCTTAAGTTGCTTCTAAATGGAGCTTCAAAGTTGTTTGGAGTTGTGATAATTATTTTGCAAGAACTTTAACTACTAGATTTTCATCCTTTAATGTATTTTACAAATCAAGCTTTGGATGATAATCATAATTGGAGTAAAATGGTGTTTACTAAGTCAAAGCATAAAAAATACTATTATAAGAAAACTTTGCTAAAGACAAATATAAGGTCCAATCATCTTACTAATAATTGATGGTACATCACAAATACTACTCCAAAACTTCATTGATTCATTCTATTTGACCATATGTTTGATAGTAGGAGGCAAAAGAGAATTTGATATCTACTTTTAATATATCAAAAAAAAAATTTAAAACTTTGATATAAATTGTGGTCCATGATTAGAAATGATGTCATTATATAAGCTATGATGTTTATATATATTATTAAAAAAAAGCCTTGCCATTTTTTAATTTTTTAATTTTTTAATTTTTTAATTTTTTTTCTTCCAATTATTACTTTTTTGCATGAGACAAAATATGCCATCTTTGTAATTTAATCTACTATAATATAGATAGTATCAAATGACAGCAGATTAGCAATGAAATCCATTGATATTGGAAATAATGGTCACTTTGGAATTAATAGTGGTTGTAGAAGTCTATAAGAATGATGTCAATAGTTTTTGGATCTTAAATACATATTACACAAGAAGACAAAGTTCTTCACAATCTTATACATTTGAAGCCATAAGAAATCTTGAGATATAAGATCTAATACTTTATTAAACCCAAAATATCTTGCAACTCAAAAATCATAACGAGATTGAAGCACATAAAGTCACATTGGTTTTTTTGGAATATTTAAAAGATCTTCTACAAACTTAAATGTTGTCAAGGCATTGTTTGATATTACAAAATAATGAGGCTTTAACTAATACTATACCTATTTGTTTAAGTAAACTTGAACCAATAGGTGTAACCATAGAAGTAGTACAAAAGAAGATTGGAGTTGTAGTAAAAATTGCCTTCAAATCTTAAAAAACCCTTTGTGCTTGAGATTCTTATTCCAATTTGTCCTTGGATGTCAATTAAGTGAAAAGACTAATAACTTGGCAATAATTCTTGATAGATATTCAACAAAAATTAGCAAATCCATGGAAACATTGTACATTTCATATTGTCTTTAGAATTATCCATTTTGTTACAACTTGAACTTTCTTTAAGCCTATCAATAAGTCTTTATTAGATATAATATTTATATTTTTATATTTTTAGCTAATAAAAAAATATATTTTTAATTTTACATATAATCTTATATCTTGTAACTTTTACAAGACTATTCTCATATATTCTTTATATTCTTTAAGAATCTTGAAATAGATTAAGATATCATCAAGATAATAGATAACAAATTTATCTAAGGATTCTCTAAAAATATCATTCATCAAATATTGGAATATAGCTAGAATATTTGTCAATTTAAAAGACATGAAATTACATTCAAAATATATATATATATATATATATATATATATATATATATATCTTATCTCAAATGTTTTCTTTCATTCAATTCTTTTTTTAATATGCACCAAATTGTATGCTCTATATAGATCTATTTTGGTATAGATCTTAGATTGATTGAGCTACTTCAATAGTCCTAATATTAATAATAATGGATAATAATTTTTCAGCGGTATTTTTTTTGAGGTTGCACTAATCAATACACATTTATAAAGATCTATCTTTTTTCTTCATAAAAAATATTGGTGCACCTACTGAAAATTTGGAATGCTGAATAAAATTCTTTCTAAGATTTTTGTTGATATAATCCTTCAATGCCAAAAGCTCATTTTGTGATAGGTTTTAGATTGGGCCAAATGGTGTTTGAGCCTCTTTTTGAAGTTCAATGGCATTATCATATGGTCAATTTTTTTAATAATATATCACCATTCTTATATTTGAAGACATCTTAAAATTTCTTATAGTACTTTAAGATACCTACTAATAAGTTTGCTTCTTCATAAGTTGGAGTTGTATAAAATACAAATGACATTTCTTTCTTAGCCATCTTCATAAAAGCCTTTGCTCCAAGAAATAAGAACTTTTTTATTGATAATTTCTTAATAGGTTTTATCCAAAGGAATTTTATAGGAAATCCAATCTTATAAAACCTTCAATTTATAGATGGATTATATCTTTCTAACCATGAAAGTCCTAAAATGATAGGATTGCATAGGATTCTAATAAAATTTAAATATTATTTTACTATAATGGCCTTCAAATAATATTTCTAGTAATATGGTTTTATGAATAATATTGCCTAAAGATAAAAGTTGATCATCTATTACTTCTACATATATAGATTTTGACTTTTGTACTAAAATAATTTTATGAAGTTTGAAAAACTTCTCATCTAAAAAGCAAGAATATGCTCCTAAATCTAATAAGATATTTATTTGAATTTTTTATTAGCCAAGAAATAAAAGTATAATAAAACAATAAATAGATTGAGCAAAAAAAGAGGGACCTTGATAAATTTAAGATGTTGAAATATCCAACTACACAATCCCTATTATAGATAGGCATCTTTATTTTCATGTATGATTACACTCCTAGTCTTAGTTGTATGTTGTTTTTTCAAAAAAAATTCCAAATTTGTGACCTTCTTCATTATAATATAAGCATAGGTCTTATTAAAATCTATGTTTTTTTTCTTCTATTATAAGAGATTTAAATTGTATTGCATCAATTTGCATATTCTTAACTCCAAAGTGTGGAAGTAATGTATTTATTGAAGAAATAGAATATAAATTTTGAATGCATTGTTTTATTAAAGTCTATAAGCATTAATCTTCATGGCATTGAAATAATTGATTATTACACTTAATAGCTTGATTGATAGCTTTAATGAGTATTTGAGGATCAAGTAGTAATAATAATAATAATAGGTCTTTTATATCATGCCTTAGTCTCCAATAGAATTAGCTCATAAAAGCTTCTTTATCTCAATTAATGTTGTAAGCCAATTGCTTAGAATCAGATATATAAACTGATACAAAGTGTAATCTTTAATATAATGAACAAATCTTTGTTGTTGCCCATTGAGCCTTGTCATGTTCTTCAAATGCCTCCACAAATGCTTTTAAGAAAGCTTCAAAGTTATTGAAGATTAGACATCTTTTCTCAAATAAAGAAGAAAATTAAAATAAGGCTTGTCTTATGACCAAGGTTCCAACTCAAACAACTCGCAACTCTTTGTTGGATAGTGCTCATGTTGTAGAAAAGTCACCAATCAAATTTGGTTACCAGATCTTCAAAACTTTGAGCGTATGCCATCAAATTTTTCTGGAAGATTAATTCAAGGTTCCTTACATTATTGAATAGGTAAATTTTCTTATTGAAGTATATGTGCCATCACCTCCTTGAATGTAGAAGCTAAAGAAAGTGGCTGCATCCTATGTTGACCTGCTCCAAATCTTGCATTATTATGAAATCTTACAATAAATCCTTTAATTTCAATACTTCAATGGATTAAAGCATCCAAAGTGTTTATAAAAACATCTAACTTAGATTTGAAAGATTCAACCATACCAACATCTTTACCTCCAAAAATCTTGAAAAAAAAAAAAAAAAAACTAAAAAAAAACTAAAATAATATCACTTTAGAAGAGAGTACTCCACAACCTTTAAAGCACTTAAATGCCTTGAAGAAGAAGAGTAATCCACACTCTATTAAGAAGAATTAAGCTCTAGTATTGATAAGAGGGTAGTCTTGACAAACTATCATAGATATATTATTTAAGAGACCAAAAAAAAATTTTGAACAAAAGAATTTCAATAAAAAAGCTAATAAAAACTTAATTAAACCTAATAAGTAGAAGATCAATACCAAGAGAGATGAGATAGAGCTCCAACAGATTTGTTATTGAGATTGAAAATCTCATCAACCTTAATTCTAATATATATTAGATATTAGGAAGCTTTTGAAGAAGTTTTCATATTGCTTGAAGTTGAAACAATCTTAAGAAGCTTCTTGAAAAGTTCTCATGTTGCTTGAAGATGAAGCAATCCTAAGAAGTTTCTCAAATAACTTCTTTAATCCTCCTAGAACTTTTTAGAACCTACTAAAATGTTCTAAGAACCTTCTAAGAATATTTTAGAAATCTTTTGGAACCTTCTATAACTTAACATAATATTCTAAGAATATTTTAAAATCTTCTTCTTGAATGTTTGTAACAAAGAAAGGCCATCTAAAAATAATTTATAGACTAAGCAAGATTTTGAAGAAGATGAAATATAATATTAATATTTATTCACTTGGAGATCTTAGGCAAGTTCTTTTTATTTATTTTTATTTTTATTTTTATTTACTTACTTTGTTTTTTTTTGTTTAATTTAGAGATCACAAGTTTAAAAAATATGACAATTCTTCAAAAAAAAATAGCTAGATGAAGGTTGCATTTCAAAACATCTCAAAACATTTCAATATTGTTCATTATACCAAAGTAAACTAGATTATGAAAACTTGGTTGTAGAATTGAGAGAGATCAAATCTAAGACCAAATCTTACTAGATATTCATCTTTTTCAATAAACTAAGTTTTTCTAACTATTGTGCATCTTTATTGTTGTTAAATTATTTATCAAAAAGAAGATTTTGTCTCCCATTTGTGGATTAAGTAGTAAAAAAGTAAAACACTTAGTATAGATTGAAACTTCCATGGATAAAAATTTATTATGTTTTGCTTATTTGCATGTCCATTTTGGAAGTGGTTTTATAAAACTTCTAAAAAACAATATGATAGTTTACAAGATTGGATCTAATTAAGATGTTAGTTGATACTTTGATCTAAGTCAAAACCTATTCAATAGATAATGTTGGTATTTTGTCTACAAATAACATTCTTAATAATGAGAAGTATTTCAAAAAAAGACATTTATTTTTTTATTTAATTATTTAATTATTTAATTATTAGTTTGAATGATCATTATTATAAAATCAAAACAAATATAGTGCATAAAAATAAAATTATATGATAAGCAATTTAAGGTTAGACTTGATTTAATTACATAGGTTAGAGTTGATTAAATTACATGACATAACAAAGTAACACACCTTTTTTTAAAATAGAAAGAAATCTGAGCTATAATAAAGAAAAATTTGATACCAAAATAAAATATTATTCAATTGAAAAACTAGTTATAGTTAACTTTGAAGTATATTATAATAACATGTTTTGAGTAATTGTAGCCTTTTAAGACTAATATTGTTATAATTCCTATCCACCTTGCAATATGTTGAAAAAAGAACCCTGAATAAAATCCAATTTTGGTGGATGTTCTTAACATAATTTAAATACTTGCCACAATTTCTTAATTTTTTTATGAAAGTCTCAATTAATTACATGTTCATCAAAAACATTAACCATTGACATTTTATTGTAATGTTTACCATTCTTTTCATAGAAATGTCTTTAAAATGATTGAAATGGTCCATGATTTTTTGTTACATATACATAATTTATTCAAATCATATCAATTGACTTTTAAGAAATAAGAACTATATATCTCTTGTATAAAACAACTCAAGGGAGATATATCAATGGGATAAACCAAAGGAGACAAAAACTATCTGTGATTGGCTGCATATTTCATTGTTTCTATCAAAAGTGAAGCAATAACTCAACTTTTAATCAATTAGAGATCAAAATCTACATGTTGTTGTAGATTGCTGAGAGTAGCACCATCAGATCACAAGGTATGGAGCTTGGAAGCACCACAACATGGAATAGCATGGAACACAGTTGAACAACATGCAACAATTTCATGTCATATGAAGCTTCAAACAAAAGATTAATTTACAATACATAGTTTATAATGTTTTTTGTGGCAAGGGCACTGGTTTTCACTAGTGTGTATATATATATATATATATATATAGATGTTATTTGCAATATAATATACAAGTATATCTCTGGTCTTCAATATGTTTGACCTTACTATTGTAAACATGTATATTGCATCCATTAAGATCATTGTCTTCGACAATACATTTTTGCCTAAGAAGACTTTCTTATGCCTTGGTTATTTAAAGTGCTGTATGCTTATTCTTGGGTATCTTTCCAAATGCCAGCTGTCATTCTCTGCATTGAATATTCCTATACATTAAGTTCTTTATATTAGAAATCAAATTGCATTTTAATCTGTAAAAAATTTTTGCAACTAGATAAACATTTGAATTGGTTACCAAAGTTTTTTGCGTCAGTACTATTGTCTCATAGTTGCACAGCGTCAACTCGTGATAGACAGAAACACTGGAATTTGAATTGAAAATGTTTTTTATACTGCATGAGCTTCATCACATTGAGTATTATTTGCATTTTTCAAATCACTTATAATCAATACTTAAACAGTTTAGCCATTCACGATACAATGCTGCAAGCACAATCCAGATGTTCAGGTTTCACCTTTGAAGCCAGCATTGATTATAATCTTACTCAAAGGAGTACCTATGTGAATTAAATGGTTGTCACATTTTCTCGACTCAAACACCCTTTCAGCAGCGTGCCACTCGGAACGCTGTACATACCAAACGCAGGGTGTACATGGCGAAAAAAAAATATGATGAAGAGAATACCTAAACTGTTTTCGTAAGTATATGCTAATGTGGTTCTCGACTTAGTAAGCCTATCTGTCACAAGCCCCATGGTGGGTAGTATAATAGGAAAAAGGTGTGTTATCTTATCCTTGGAAAAGAAACCTAGGCGTTGCAAGAACTGCTGCAGATGAAAACTAACTCCGAATTTCACAACTACAGTCCGTAGATAGATTAACAAAATTACTTATACAAAGGCCGCTGCACAACACCTCAATTGATGTATAATAAAGTTCGTAACCAAGAAATTCTGACCAAGCCTTGCATTGGTCACAGGTTAGCATGTTGGCAGCCACTATTCTGAAAGGGCAGTGCTGTAGAGACGTTTGATATTGGGGCAGAGACCACGAAATGTAGCCAAACTAGCGAAGGTAATCTGCGATCAAACTTTTACTTCAGCTATGTGTCTAGAACATCGTTTCAACAAACACAAAATACTACACAACCAGAGGGTAATTATACGAAAGCAGGAAAAAATAAAATTACGCACCAAAAAGCAGAATACAGGAGCAGTATTTAGCTCAAATCCCTAGTCGTGCAAAGGTTGCATGGACTGGCAAGTTCCTCAAAGATCCATCATTAAAGCATAATGCTAAACTAAGGAACCTGACAATGAAGTGGGACCCTCACGTGAAACAGAGATCCTTCAGAGATCATAGGACATTCCTTTGACACCGGAAAGATAATCCACGAAGCAGAAGAGAAACTTAAGCATTTGCATCATACCTTAGTACAGTTGCGAAGATCTAGAGTCTCTAGCATTGTACAGCCCTGAATGCCAACCTCGAGCACATGAGACTCAATTCGACAGCCCTGCAAACACACAACAGGTATATAAGTTGCAAACACATAATTCTACAGCATATGTTGACTTGGATGTCAATGCGGTTCAAAATTGCTAGATTGAAAGCAGTACAAGGATTTAGGTCAGAACTAACCCCCCTCCCCCCCCCCAAAAGAAAAGATGAAAAAAAAGATAATAACCTTTTCTGCACACCAGTGAGCATGCCAGGAGCAAATTTGATGGGCAACAATAGAACCGAATAATACAGCAACTTAAGCATTATAATAAGGTTCGAAATTGGAAAGAGAGTAAGCAACTTACGTGAAGAGAGAGAGCTATGAGGCGGGGACAATCCAAATCGAGCAGAGAGAGTGCAGCACAGTTGCTTAAGAGCCCACAGACAACATCCAGACATCAGAAAAAATCCGGCTCCTCAAACTATCAATAATATTGATACATATAAGATGGCAAACGCATATCACTTATAAGCTGCTATCGCACAAGTGCTGGAGTAAATCACTTAAGTCAATCCTAAACAAAAGATCAAATGATGGAAGTAAAGAAGAAATCCCTGTACAGCTGAGCGAATATGAGATATCGTACCTCAAATTAAGTGACACGAGGTTGGCACATGCAAGATAAATCTCCCGGATATTATTGGAGAGCGACAAGTTGATGATTGAGAGATAAGGGCACGTCTGTGCCGTTATCGTGACAGATCGAACATTATGGCAGCCAACACAACTTAAGCTCTGCAATGCACGTTCAGGGGTAAAAGCCTCAATGCTATTCCTGTTTCCAACAACCACCTCCAGTGCAGAATTTGCATCCCATGCACCGTCCTGATCCACGTCCGAGTCAGCTGTAACTGCATCCGTAGAAAGAGTGTCCGTTCCATCAATAGGCTCCAGAAGGCCACGCTGGGAGCAAAGATGGGCCCAGAAATGGTCGGTCACATTTGCACAGCCATTAAGGCTTACGTGAACCAGATGTGGACAGTGAGCAAGAACATCCTCGATTGCCCTTCGACCCAAGCTGCCATATGAAAGATCCAATTCTTGAAGTTCGGGAAGCTTATTGCCGCCGTGCAAAGCATCCAGAGTTGTTTCCTCAAGATACTTACAAGCAGATAATCTCAAGACCTGGACACATACGCGACAAGTTATTGCATCAAATCTTTAAAATAAGAGAAATTATCTAGGTAAAATAAGAGAAAGTAAATGATCTACGTTTGCCTTCAACTTTTTAAGACAATATAACAAAAATTATATAAAAACTAAAAGTTATATGTATGCAACACTTGAGACCAGGAGAAAACAAGAAAGCGAGAGTCCAGAGAGAAGGGTATAATTTTCAGACCTTTAGACGGGGACAAGCTTCAAAAATTGGTGACATATCAGTAAGAAAAGTGTAGGAGAGATCAAGGACGGTCAAGTCAACTAGCTTCTTCAAAGCAAAGAGCCCCGCAGGACCAACAAAGGAGCATGCAGCCAAGACAAGTTGTTGTATTGCTGGGCAAGCAGAGGTTGTGGTCGCCAAGCACAGATCACCCAATTCACTGTCAAAAGCATCAGATAGAATCGATCAGCTGAGTATCGTAATAAATCCCAAAAATATCACCGATGTCACAAGGACAATTAGACATGCAAGTGGATTAAAAGTAGGGAGTGATCCTTGCTGCAAGCCACCACGTACCTGCAATACGAGGCGTCTAATGACGAAAGATTTGGACAATCAATGGACGCTTGAGACAGAATTCCACAGCCCCGCAAATCCAAGACTGACATTTGATCAGCCTTAATTACTAGACTTGTCAGATGCGGGCAGATGCCGAGATTCAGAGACAGTAATCCAACTGGAGCGAAAGAGGCAACTACCAGCTGGTTACATCCATCCAGGTGAAGGTGCTGAAGTCCAGGACAGGACAGATCAAGTGTTAAAACTTTTTTGCAACCTACCAATGAGAGCTTCTCCAAAGAAGCAGTACGGAGCTTCACGCTCACCAACCCCTACACAAGCGTAATTCTAATAAGAAATCAGAGAATATTCGAATATTTGTACAAGTTAAGCGTCACCAAGTGCTTGGAATGAGTGAACGGAAAATAATTACTAAAATATATCGGTTTAACGTGAGGTTCTAAACTAGGATATGAGAATCTCAATTATAAGGAATGAGGAATTCGGTGAAAGGGAATTGATTTTGCACAGAAGAAACTCAGTCAAATTCAATACAATTAAGGAAAAAGGATTTACGGGACCAAGGGATATGGGAGGCTATACATCGCAGTTGTCAAGAATCAACGTGTTTAACTTTGGACAGCCACCCCCTTCGCTGAAAACGTTGCAGACTAGATCCGTCAGGGATTCACATTCAGAAAGGTCTACAACTTGTAGCCAAGGGCAATGCAAAACAAAGCTTGCCAAGCTAGACTGATTCTTCAGGTCTAGAATCTGTCAAATTCAATGACAACACGAAAATTTAGTAAAATTGACTTCAATTAAAACGGCAATTTGGTACACAAATGAAAATGTTCACCTCAAGCAGACAGAGTGATAGTCACGTATCAACTTCATGCTAAACATGTTATCTTACAATTATATATAGCTTAGGACAGACAGAGAAGAGGTTACAAGCCTTACCGGCAAACTGCTGGAGGAGAGGTTGATGCGGCTAAGAGCGGGACAATTGGTGAGGTCAAGGGAAACAAGAAAAGGGCTGCGCAATGTAAGCTCCACCAACCTATAGTTTTAGAAAACAATGGTTAGAGAGTGCAATACGATTTATTTAAGAACCTGCTTCAAATACGAAGTGCCAGCATAAACCACACATTTAGTCAGCTAAGAGAATCAATCCTAATTAGTTAGATGGAAACATCCATCGGTAAAACATTTTATCACACACCCTCGACTAGGAGTACCAATCCAACCTCGCGAAGTCAACGAGTAACCTCCAGAACTTTATACTGTTAGTAATGTGCATACATGAATACAGACATGGAGTTGAATTGCAAACATCATTCTTTGAAATCGATGTATTTAGAAAATTCTAGAACACGACATATTAGACAGATTAACATTAACAGCAGGCTTGCGAAAATCCTAAATCCCTCAGGACCACGAAACTCGAAGTCCCAGAGCCAAACATGCAAGCTAAATAAGGTACATCATATCTTAGAGGAAATACCAAGAAGCACTGTACATGAAACAGATCTTCAACTTATTTTCTATTGACACTCAACAAGTGGTAGAAATACGAGAGTGTACTTTTTATTGTTAGCCAAGCTGATGGATCGCAAATGTGGCAGATCGAGATTCACCGATGTGAGCAGCCAACAACAGTCCATAGCCAGCACCTGATAAAACTTCCAGTGAATCAGACAATTTCTATGTCTTCTGTAAAAATAAATAAATAGTTGGCTCTTTTTAACGTAATTCAAATGCTCTTCAATACTTTGACAGACTGCAGTTCCGTAATTCAACTCTTGGAAACAATTCTAATTATCGAACTTTCTCAATCAACAGATTCTTCGAAACATCAAGGACATGGGAATCATAGAACTCGGGATTTTAGTTATCTCCAATCGATCAAATGACAGACCATTGAAAGAAGCAGTAATATGAACGCAGGGATCCAGAAGTTCAGAGAGCCAACCATACTGAAACGTGAAAATATCAAACCATCACGTCGATTATGAAGAACATAAACTAGGCTACTTGAAAAAAGATCATACCTCCAGCATTATACAATGTGAAAGAGCAGCCATAGAGGAGGCGTTGATGCCCTCACAATTCTGCAGCCTCAACTCTGTCAACATAGGCATACGCACTCCCTGCCACATGGAATTATCAAAAGCAAGTAACGTCATTTCCTCAGATGAAAAATCGAAACAAACTTCTCTTTCAAGGAAGTGGAAGAATCGGAAGAAGAGGATTATACTGTGACTAAAAGCGAGGACCATCAGGTAAGTAAGTTTGCCGTTTAGTGTTCAAATAGGAATTGAAATACGAATCATATAGGGTACAAATAGTGTCCAAAGTTTACCAGACCAAGATAATTCCGACATATAAAATGATTTACCTCGAGGGAAATATTGGGGCAGTGAGAGGCATCCAGAATCTGTAGATATGTGCATACAAGGGAAATCTCGCGAAGAGTGTCATCCGTGACATACGCACAGTTTGACACGTTCAAACATGTCAGAAGTGGACAAGTTATTGCAGCAGCACGAACTCCGGCATCTGAAAGCTTGTGACAAGATGTGACATCTAAACTCGTCAGAAGAGGACAATGCAGCAGAGCAGAGGCGGCCCCAGATTGCTTCAAAGAGAGTTTCTCAAGTTGTGGGCACCTGTTATACAAAAACTACGCATGAGCAACAAGAAAAGCCCGAACGGAGAGAATCAATACACAAGTCTACAGTGAAGATAACAATTGAAGGTGAGGCAGGCATACAACCCGTAGCAAGTGTGATCAAATGTAGAAAATATAACCTGACGGAAATTCGAAGGACCCGGCACTTAATAATTTGCAGTGAAAGTAGACCTTCATGGCGTAGATGCACTTCTTGAGCACCTCCACTTCCCAAGCTGGCATCCGATATGCTCAGGGTGCGCAAGGATGTAGAATTGGAAAGTGCTTGGAAAAACGGCTCATTTAGGAGATTTCCACCCAATGTGAGCACCTCCAAGTTTCTGCGACATACGAAGAAGACATTTCAAGAATATAAGCTGTCACTTTGTGCCAACTCGCTGCAAGTAAACAATGGAAAGTTAACGTAGACAATACAAACCAAAAAAAAGCGCTGTTTACCGTGAATAACTTCCAGCCTTTTGGCTATGTTAGAAGTTCAAATAGACCTAGCAGTACATTCGGTCACTAACTTGTAGAGCCTCAACAAGCTAAGAGGGAAAAAATCTCAACTTTTTCAGGTGAAGAATACATTCAGCACATCCATTAAAAATAAGCGAATGATAGCGTATTTATCTGTAGATGTTTACTTAACAATTAAACCGGACATACCTGAGAGAACTCATAGCATCACGAACTCGCTCTTCTTCAACATTGGCTGTATTCTTCAAATGCAACTCTGTTGCCCTTGGATAACGAGCACAAAGCTCCGCAACTGTATATATGCGCAAATAGTGGTTATACTTGAATCACTTCTTTACTTTCATATAAAATCACACGAGGTTGAAGAGAACGAACACCACTAATTAAAATTGGTACTACAGTATACGAAAGCAACTCAAAAGAGCAAAGAGTCCAGAGAATGACTGAAATATATGGAAAAAGTCACAACTCATGTGGAGAAGATGATACCTTGCGCATGTGTTACTTGGCGATACTCAAAATTTAATGATTTCCAAAAATCCTCGTGAGCACTTGCTGCACGCCATTGTCGACATACCATGGCAGCGTGACAGAGGGTGACATGGTCCAGAAAAGAGAACACCTAGAGGAGCAGGCACAATGTAGAACTTCGCTTAAAGACACAAGAATCTAAAGTAAATATCTGAATTAAACATACCAACTTTTTTAAGATAAATAAAAAGGACAATCAGACCCAGATGTGACCTTGCTTCTTCTCATCAAATCATATTTCAGATCAAGAAAGTGCACCTTGAGAAGCAAGTCATCGGTTAGACCAAAGCGGAGTTCATTATCATTCGCCTCTTCGACATTTTCATCCTTATCCTCATCTCCGGCATTGTCAGTTTCCATACTATCCTCACGTCTACCCTGCAACTGAGATGGATGATTAAAAGAGGGATCTAAAGATAAGCCCTCTCTGGGAAAGCTTTCAAATTGTAATGACTGACGGCTAGATGAACTGGAGTAGTCTATTGACGATCCGCCTGCCATGGCACTTGGAGGATGTTGTCGCCTGCACACGGAAATTGGGGCATTGCTGCATAAGTGCTGCATTTTGACGATCTTCTAAGATCCTGGTTCAGTAATCACCAGACCAGTGGCCCTCACAAACTACAATTTGTGAAACAAAAGTGCTAAATTAAGTCAGGTAATGATCTTTGAAGTCGATACCATGTTGGCGTTAGAACCAACGACCACTACAAATCATAAAAACATGCTTCAGCTAAAAATCTCCCGAGGTAACATCAACACATCATGTGACCAAATCCGCCCTGATATCACGGAGTCAATAACAGGAATTGTACATTGCAAGTACTTACGAGAGGAGAGGAATAAATTTAGCACGTTTGCGATGGAGATGAATCTTCTGTGGTGTCGTGGGGTCCGGCATGAGTGATCGTGCATTCAACCCAAGACGGAAGTTTCGATTCTCTTGACTATTTGATGCGTCCAATCTTTGAAAAGGGGTTTCTTCCACAGATGCAGACTCATGTACTTCATTCTCATCGTAAAACATTCCCTGCAGACGTTAGAATACAGCAATCAACATTACATTCTCTGTATGTAGCCCATCTCTATCTTGAGGCTTTTCACTAGTATCATCAAAGATAATTGCTTAAATACATAAGAAAATAAGGCAAACACATGCAAGACATAAAAGCTTGTGTGTGTAACCATGGGAACTGTGTCCCTGGCTTCTGCAGCCTCACTTACCAGAGATTCAGCCTGTAGGACCTGATTGTCTGTGTCACGTCTCCAAAAACGAGGGCTGTGGGTCGGCGAGACTGATAATAGGTCAGAAGACCATTGGCCTTTAAAAGTCTGACGGATACTACTAATACTTGATTCGTTAGGCACTGAGTGATCAAGATCAGTTAGAATTTCTTCATCTTGCAGCACGATTCTGCCTGATTCTGTAGGCTGGTCCACGTCCCGGGATTCTTTCCTGCTGTTGACATGCCAATCAATGTCTGACAAAGCCTTCGGTTTACCACCTGCGACAATTTTTAAGCATGAAGTATCATCATAAACATATTTCAGGTACAGTGCAGACAAAAAAATTACAACATTCTTAATGCTGTAAGTGTATAAACGATACACTGGACAGCAAGAGCTGTTCCAAACAATAGAGTCTTTCAACGAAAACATATTGCTACTAAACTGTGAAAAAGACTCATAATAACTGACATGCAGACGTGACGCGGCGAGCTAAACTGAATGATTCCACACGAATCACTGTAGTAAATAGCAGAATTCGGTCGTGTGCTCACCATTTAAGGTCTCGGGTCGAATTAGTAGCCCATCAGCCAGCCACATTATGCTGCCTAGAGTATTGTCGGCGGCCATTCGAAATTATGTCGCCAAATGCAGTAACGATGCTCAACTCCAAGTCGACACGAATATACAAGCCGCGCCGTCTTAGAACTACAGATACCACATCGAAATTTCTAGAAGTGTTACACGACAATGAAAGTACCAAACATTGACGTAACAGAAAGTCTGAATTGTAGGTGGAGGTAGTCAATGAACCTAAGATGCCGCATGTAATATAATAAAATGTTGCACTAACCCCAAAAAATTAAATCCTTCTCTCAACTGCAGAAGCTGAACTGACCGTTAAAAAAAAATGGTCCTCTACACAATCAAGGTATGAGTAAAAATTCCCCTTAACGCAAACCAAGAAAATGGCTACCTATCGTAGAGAAATCACGAGGAAAAAATAATCTTTCCAATGAAATGCACCTCATCCACACAACTGAAACGCATAATACGAAGAGGGAAACTTACGACATCCAGCTTCTTCCAGCTCCTGAAAAAACCCAGAGCAGAAACCAAAAAGAGAGCCCTTCAGTTGATAAGAGAACGCGGTATATCATCACCCGTCACAACATCGGCGGATCTTCACAACCTCAGTTCGGATCAAAAAAGGAAGCAAAATCCTTTCCAAGGCAGGGCAAGCACACTGCTCTACACCTGCATGATAACGGTAGGCGTCATCGAGAGTCCCTCACAGGGGGGGGGGACGCTTCTGTGGACACACACAGCCCTGAAAGACCCTTACAAACACACTCTTCGCCCCATGCGAGATCTTTCACTCGTAGCAATTCCAATACAAACAAGCGGTGCCGAGAAAACATGCAACGCAGGGCGAGCGATTGCGCGCTGCTTGGAAATGCAAAACCTAATCCAACGCTGAAACGCCGTGTCGGCACTCTTAACTCTTGTACGATTTTGCATCACTACTTGACATTTGCTCACTACCACAATCAAAAAAAAACTTCGACGAGTGGCAGTCTCTTAAAACCCCAAAAGCAACCCACAGAGTCTCGACTCCTGGGGACAAAAGCTGCCGCGTCTCCAAACGCCAAAAAGTGGAATTCCCCGCCTGGCATGAGGGCAGGCAGCGGCAACACGCGCAGGTGTGGGGAAATTCTCACCACCCACACTCCCACATTCGCAACTAATCTCAAATTACAAATTGTACCCACGAAAGGATTGCTTCCAGCAAATCATCGGACTCGTCACACGATGTCACATGATCGAAAAACTTACCCGCTCAACTAATTGCTTCATCAGATTTAAGCCCTACGACGTGGCTACACGTAGAGTTTGAACGTTAGACCTCCAAAGCCCTCTAGGAAAGGCTTCATTTCATCTTCGCCTACAACAAAATTCTCTCCCTCGCGTACGCGCGCTCCGATCAACTGCGGCACAACCAGTCATCTCCCTGTTCCGAAACTCTTCTGCAGCTGGCGGTGATCATTCATTATCCCTGGGGGCAAATCACGATGGGCTTAGATCGGCGTAATTAAATAAACAAACCTCGGGGCTGGAAAAAAAAAAAGCTGCCAACGAGAGACCAAAGTTCAAATGCTGGACTATGGCTCTTCCAATCAACGCTGTAACCACCCACCTCTGCCATGTCACCTGCCATGTCACCTGCCAAGTCACCTGCCATATCATTGGTCACGTGTCACTCGGATCCACGTCAGATCTCCCACCACGAGTGAGCTATTACTTTGCGCACAACTTATCAATACAGGAAGTTATTACAAATATTTAAACACCGTCATCTACACATATTATTTTCACCTTTTAATAAAAAATAGAAAGTAGTGTGCAATATTACAATTATTTTCTCCTTATGGACTATTAACTTTTAATAGCCATATGTTTATTATAAGGTATACTTCTCTAATAAATAGTCATAAGTAGGAAAATATCAATGCAATGTTAAACTTATAGTAAGGATCATTTTATTGTAACAAATATTACACATTACTTGCTAAAAGTATCTTTCTCAGGCAAAGCATTTTCTATCAAAAATATAATCAATAGGAACAATATCATGTAGCACTATATCATCAATTTTTAAAATCATATTATTAGTTATTGGAAATATAGCTTTATATCATCATATATAATTTTATTTTTGCAACTTTAAGTAATTTTTTTACAGTCGATTCTTCAGTAACATATATATATATATATATATATACATATATATTCTCACACAAAAATTTAAAAAGTATAACTTTCTCCTTTTATTCTTAGAACAATAAATGTATATATATATATATATCAATATTACAATATAATAACTTGTTTACTAGATTATATATAAGATTTATTATGCCTTGGTAAATAATAAAACTAAAAGCACATAAATACATGATTCTTATAGATTTTTTTTGTATTATTAATTTAAATTTTAGATGATTCACTTTAAAAAGAACTTTAGTTTTATTTGAGATGGTTGGTATATACAAGTACTAAACTTTGTCGTAGATAAATAATTTAATGATTAGATATATATGTTTTTTTGGGTATAGATATGCATATATGTATTTACATTTTATAATTAAAGTATCTACTTCTACATTGAAGCTGTCTATATCATTGTAAATATTTTACAACAAACATTGATTTAGCTTTAAAAATATACATAAAGAAACTCTCTATACATGTAGAGTCCATCTAAAGCTTTTTTTATTCCAAGTTCAACTCCATAAAAGCTTTATCTTAAAATATATATAATCTATTATCTAATATTTTTTGGAGTCTTATAATCATAAAAAATATATGCCATTGGGCATAATAAATATTTTAATACAAAACAAAGCAACATCTGTGAAAGGGCAACATACATTTTTATATTGTGAAAGAACAATATGGTTAAATATATTTTACAAAGTAAGGCAACATATGATGAGAAAGGACAACATACAATAAAAAAGGACAACATACTTTTTTACATTGTAAATGGGCATATAGTTTTAGTAATTTTGGCATGGTTTTTGGTTCTTTTATTTGATGTCAGTTCTTCTCTCTCTCTCTCTCCATATATATATATATATATATATACACACATATCTATATACTTAATATTAAGTATATATAATTTAAATATCAAAATTAGCTAATGAACATTATTAAAATATACAATTATCATAAAATTATATTTTAGATTTATAATATATTATTTTAGTTTGTTTAAAAAAATTAATAGTTAGTTATTTTAAAATTATTTATTAGTTATGTAAATAGGTTTTTTAAATTTTGGGTTTATTTTTATTTTAATTATACTTCTTAATGTATTTGTCTAAATTTAAATTAACCACTTATTATTATTATATCATAAATATTAATTATTAAAAATAAAATATTAATTTTTTATTAACTTTTTAGTTTTAATTTCAAAATACCAAGAACTAGCAAAACATTGTGCCGTAGAACATTTAAATATATATATATATATATATATATATATGTTTTTTTAAATCACAATTATTTTCTTCTCTTTCTGGAAGAAAAAATATATTAATTAAGTTTATTTTTAATTACATTTGATTACTTTGTGCACATTCTGCACTGGCAGCTCTTAATGCGAATGTTGCGGTGAATATTCTAATGAATGCAACATTGATTTTGTGGCGGAATGTGCTCGCGTGATTGTTGTCGCTGCATCATCGTTGAGATTTATGCACCAAAGCTTTGTTGAAGTCTGGGATAGTTGTGGACGTCGGTTTCCAGTGTAGAAAAATATTTCCTCGTTGAAAATTTTGCTTTCCGCCAATGACGACCAGTCGGAACACAGTCGTTGCGGATGTGCTCCGCAGTTCGATCAATGCATGTGCACTGCTGATGACATGACCAAAGTGCAAAGCTCCATTCCACCGGAGTTTGAAGTTTGAGGCCTTACATCGCGGCGCAGTTGAAGATGCTCCAAGCATGTGAACTGCAACAAAAGGAACGGAACAAGTTTCTGTGGACAGTTGTGGCGACTCACAATGTGCTTCTGACATACCACCGTGTGTTCACATTGGATCACAATGAGCTCGCGATCTGCTTTCGTTGGAACTCCCGCTGTTTGATTTGATAACATCTGCCGCTTAGGAGAATTCAGGTGAGTTTCATATTCGGTGAACTTCAATGGACTTCAGTGAATTCCAGAAACTTCTCTTGTTTCGATTCTTGACAAGACGAAGGTAGTAATAATTTGTAACAATGCGCGATCTCCTACAGAACTACGTCGTGGTAGAAACCAGGATAGCAGTGTGTGATTAAAACAAAGTATTCATAGATTGTAGCAGTTAAATGTTTTTATTGAAAACTGTCATGCTCATGCTTCTGCAAGGAAAATTCTATTTCTCTTGCTCCTGCACAGAAAATCACAGCTATTGTAGTATACAATCTGCAAAGAATGTATATAAACAATTATATGTATGCATGTATTCCATTTGACTGCTTTCTTTTGCTTCAGCCTCGCTCTCTTTGTCCGTCTGTCTTGCTTTCTGTTTTGTTTGTTTTGTGATTTTCTTTTAAAGCTGCAAAATCCATTTTGAAGCTAAAATTCCACGTCAAGTGGTGCAGATTTCAACTTTTAAAAATGTTCGTTTACAATATGAGACATGAAAGATGCTGGAAGCAATAAATTTTTGTGAATGTCAAAAATAATATGAAAGTATGAAAGTAAAAGGTAATAACTTACATGAAACAAAAATATTAGACTTAATTAATCTTTATAACTCTGATTGTCTTTATCCATCTTTAACCTTGATTTGATTTAAATACATTTTATTCAAATTAGTAACACAATTTTGGCTAGTAAATATATCTCTTAATATTGTTTGAATATTGCTTCTTTGTTTTTTCACTCATAATTTTAAATTTTTTGTATAAATAATATTGATATATGTTTATTTTATATTTTATATTTTATTTTCACAAATGTATAGATTATATATATATATATATATATATATCCATTTTCTTTTTTTTAAAATATAGTATATGAACTTTCTAATATATAGAATTTGTGTACATGGTTCCAATGGACGTTTACTTTTATGCCACTTTTTACTAGTATACATTATATTATATTGATAGATTATTTAATTAATAATTAATAATTAGTATTTGTTGTATATTCAGGGAACATTGGTTTCAAATAATGTTATTGTTGTTGTTACTTTCTGATTATTATTGTTATTATTAGTATTTGTCACACTGTTTGCATTATTATTCAATATTGTACTGAATGTTATCATATACCAATAATTTTCATCTACATATTACCTCCAAAGCAAACCAAAAACCTTCAATGCCAGTAGTAACAAAAGTTCAGAGTACTTGAAGAGAATTGTCCAGGAAAACACTTCACCCAAGTGAAGTTCACTGGCTATGGAACAAAACTTGAACTGTTGTACTATTCAAAACGGAAATGCATATTCCTTCCATTTTAAGGCAAAAGATGGATGAATAATCATAAAGATAGACAAATCCCGAACAGAACGAGTGAAAGTTGGGGAACGAATGAACACCCCGACTACGACAACGTGCGCTACACACCTGAAAATCTTGGCACCCACGATGCCTCCAAATGCTTAAATAAGTAGAAATGTATTGCGACATGGGAAAAGAAAAAGAAAAAGCCACCAGTCGGGAAGGAAGGAAGCAAAAAGACAAGCCGAATACAACGTAAAAGAAAGAGGGAGAAACGGAAAAGATGAGTAGGAAAAGGAAAAGAAGGGAGGAGCGTTGAAGAAAAGCGCGGTCTGTGGGGGGGGGGGGGGTGTGACGATGGCGCCTGTGCGTTGTGCACAGCGAGTCGGGTAGCGCCTCCTACGAGTGAGTGACCGAGCGAGCGGGCGAGTATATAGTGCGTAGGGGCCGCTGCTTTTGGGAGGCATGACAAGCGCGATTGGCAGATTCGCCGTTGAAGTCTGTGGCGAGTACGACGCTGCGGGATTGGAAGGTGCGAAGACGAGGAGGGGGGAAGTCTTTGAAGGAGGAGGAGAAGTAGAAGCGGGTTAAAGGTGAGGAGGGGGAGGAAGGTTCTTCTGCCGGTGGTGATTGGCGAGTTAGACTCTGCGTTGTGTCGTCTTGTGGACTCCAGCGCGTGTTTTTTTTTACTCAGGGTGACGGATCTGGGAAGCCCGGAAGGTAACTACAAGGTTGGAAGTCTACGACAAGGCGGCTGGTATCCTCTGCCAGGGGATCCGCCAATTGAGATCAAGCCAAATGCTCGTCGTGTAGCCCTGGAGGAGGATCCATTGCTTTGTCTGTTGGCGGGATTTGAGTCGAGAATTGAGGCCAATGCTGTTGGCTTGTGTGGTGGCATCCGCAGAGCATCTTGATTCTTTGCGTGAAGTTTTTTCTTGGAGACATTGCGTCGTAGACGTGAGGATTCCATAGCTAAGCACGACGGGGGTTGGCCTGGTTGCGTGAGTGCGCTTTTAGAATTTTGGGAGGTTTGCAGTGGGAGAGAAAGTGTTGGATTCAGGTTAAGAAGGATTGTGTTGTGTCCTTGTATTGACTTTGTATTGGGTTGGTTAGTTGTTGGAATTTAGCAGATAAGGTAGAAGGTCGGGTGTGAGAACTGTGATTTCGTTTCGCACCATGGGTATGAAGGCGGTGACATCCGTGCCGGAGCCGCCACGGCCCGTAGTCATATGTGGGCCATCTGGAGTGGGAAAGGGCACTCTGATTGGAAAGTTGATGAAAGATTTCCTGGACAAGTTCGGGTTCTCCGTGAGCCATACCACTCGCGCGCCCCGAATCCGAGAGATCGACGGGGTGCACTATCACTTCGCCTCCCGCCCTGTGATGGAGCAAGAAATTAAGGAAGGGAAATTTCTAGAATCCGCTGAGGTCCATGGCAACTTGTACGGGACGAGCTGGGCTGCCGTTGAGGCTGTCGCCGACGCTGGCAAGGTACGATCAAGCGCTGCTGCAGTGCACCCTTTGAACCGTGTCCTTAGGTTAGTTTAGGATCAATATCACATTCGGTTTTTGTTTTTTGTACATCATTGATGACGAATGGGTTTCTTTTGATCGCGAGTGCGACGAGTGCCGTTTGCGCTCTTCTGCTGATGCTTGCGTTTGTAAAAGCAATCTGGCAGATCTGCATACTGGATATCGATGTCCAAGGTGCTCAGGCAGTGAAGAAGAGTGCTCTGAAAGCCACATATATTTTCATCAAGCCTCCAGCCCCTGAGGTAAAAGAGCTCGAAAGGCGTCTTCGTGGAAGGTGAGTACCTTCTTCAGGATCGTGTTTGTCTCTTATCACATGTGGTTCGAGATGTGGAGCTGCTGATTAGATGTTCTTTGTGAGCTTCTGTCCGCATTCGACATGAAACCTATTCGGCAATGTGCCGATGGGTATGATATATCTATATCTGTGGCTTTTTCAGAGACACAGAGACAGAAGAACAAATACAGAAGCGGCTCAGAAATGCCAAGCAAGAGCTCGAGCGTGCCAAGGATACTACTCTATTCGATCACATTCTTGTGAATGCCAACTTGGATCAGGCTTACGAAGAGCTGAAGGTGGGCAGTCGGACCGTTTTCGTTACAGTTCCTTTTCAAATGCGCGTAGTTCTTTGGTCAATGTTCTCAAGGTTTTAAAGATCACTTGTTAGAGTTTAGTTTCCTATGTTGCTTTGCCGCATTTTTCAATTTCAAAGTAGATCAGTTTTTTTTTGTTATATGTTGCAGGTCTTGCTAGGTCTCGGCAGTTCGGCTGCATCTACCCATTGCAATGGCACTGCCAAACATCGTATGATGCTTTCCCCAACATCTCATTTTTTTGAGATTGCTGGATCTGCTTGGAGTAGCAGATTACTTCCAAAGTCGGTCCTCTACTTCCTGATATTCCTTTTTCTCTGGTATTATATGACTAGCGAAGCTGAAAGTGATGAGTTTTTTCTGATTGTGCAGAACTAAATGGGGTGCAAGCGACTTTGTCAAATGGATGTATACTCCTGTCAGAGAGCGGGACACCTACAAACAGTCACGAGTAAGACACAACTTCTCCCTTAAGCTTGTATGCAGTCAGCAGTCAGATAAGGTGTACTTTTCATCATTTTTGATTTGCTATCCAGATTCTGGTCGCGGATTGCAAAAGTACAAGCCTTTTTTTTTTTTTTTTTTTTTTTTTTTTTCCGGGGGGGGTTGTAATATGGTGCTGTACTGCAGATTGGAGGCAGATCACGTCATGTATGGGAATGGATCTTCTGTAATTACGAGGTCGAATGGGCTATTCCTTAATGGTTCACCGCATCATTCAAAGGCCAATGGTGTGCCGAAGCTTTCGAATTCTTTATCTACCAATTATAGCCGTTCATTACCAATGCTGAACTCACCAGACCTTTTGGTTAACATGCACTCAGCAACTGGGTCTCCTAGAGCCAAAGGAATTTCAGCTTCGTAACCCTCTTAGTACCCCCCTGGGTAATTTTAGTACAAAAAGGTACAGGTTCTTCTGTACCTCATTCATCGACGTTCTCTTTTTTAGAGGAGACAATTCTTGTCGGAGGCTGGTTCATGTGCAGCCTTCAATTCTTTTCGTGCACAGGTAGTTCCAGAGATGCAAGGATCTGATATCTAGTACGTTTCACCAATTTCAAGTTAGGTTTAGGTAGCTCCAATCTTCCATCCTCGCATCTCCATCAAATTCAGGATTCAGTATATGAACCGGTCTGAAGGAAGTATATCAGTACGACATGTCCAGTTCCACTTTTTCTTTTGTAGGTAAGGCTTGCATTTATAAATACCAAACCACCAATGAACTTTCTCGCTTCCAGTAGTCACTTAGTTCCTCAGCGTAGGGTTGTGTGCTCTATATGAAGGTATATGAGCATTCGTATAACAGCAGTAACCAGGATCAAGTGTCAATTTTTTCGTTTTTTATAATCGAGAGAACAGTTAATGATGCTCTGGTCTCTCGGCCATTTTTTCAATTGAATCTCAGCCACATATACCTACAGGCTGTTTCAACTGGTTCCAATCTGGTGCTTAAACATTTCCAAATGCTAAATCTATGTTCAATGGTATTGCCTAACGTGTGTCCAGTGTTTAACTTGTGGTTCAATGACATCGAATTTGTTCATCATGACTACTTGACTACAGGCGTTGGGAACAATTGTGGCATAGATCCATGTACCTAATGTCTCATTGTAAGGTCATGGTTGTGTCACCAATTATGAATAATGTATTGGGGCCCTCGTACCTACTATGATGAGCTGCTCTATCACACCAGGTGTTCCGTGGACAAAGGTTTGGCATCACATTGGATATGCTGTTGCCTGTTGGATCATGAGTGTTTCTGCAGTCCAGCACTGAGCATCAAAAGAGTCGTGGATATTGTTCTCGATGCTGTAGCCTCTGATTCGTTCCAGAGCTCTGACAAGAAGGTAAAAGAACAGTCTTCACAAAGACATACAGACGGACATACATACAGGCAAAAGTGCGCAGAAGACCATCTCAGATGTCTTCAGCCTAGAAAAAGCATGTGATGAACAGGTGAGTGTCCTCCCCTTTACGCTATTCTACTGCTTTGGTAGTAGCATTTTGTTAGCACTTTGATGGGTACTCCTGAAGAACAATTTGCCTAGGAACAAAATAATTAAAGATAAACACAATAGTAGTATAAATAAAGTTAGTAATTCATGACTTTGATATGTAATGCTGTTATACTTAAAACTTTGGATTGATTACATTAATAGTGGCATTCTTTGCATTACTTAGGTATATAAAATCTAAAAGGCATCAGGAAAGAGCAACAAATACATGACTATCTGTAAATATTGGGGTTCTACGGTCTATACCTACATTCTTCAATGACTAGCCCTGAAGCTTATTAATTGTCATCGCAAAGGCAGCTTTAATTGGAACTTTAATTGGAACCTGTGTTGAAACTTGAAAGGAATCTATGATGTTAATGGACTTAACAAAATCTGTGATAGGAATGCTAGCTCTCCTTTGTGGTCCCTAGTCAAGATCTGTGCCTCAATGACATGATCCATTAGTTGTGTGATAACTAGTACCCAACCAAATCACTTCATTTCACTTGCATTCCATACGGAAAAAAAATTACAATCTTTTGATCCAACTTTCAAAGATTCCAATGTGTATTGACCTAGAGCAGTTGAGTTGCAATCACAAAGCGCTAAAATGTCAATATCAAAGCACATAAAACACACATCTTCATTTTTTTCTTTTCATTGTTACTGCCTGCCCAAGCTTAGAATACTAAGAATTGGAATAACAATAAAAAGAAATCAATAGTACTCTGATTATTTGTTTTTTTGAAAATAAATAGTGTACAGTCAGTTCAAAGGAATATGCCTTTCAATCATTATTGAATCCAATGAAATTACTTTTGATAATAAGACACTTGAAATACATTTTAATGTACTTACAATTGTATCTTGTGTAATGTATACCTATCAACTAATATTCCTTGCTTAGTTGTTAATGTTTGTTAGAATGGTGGTTGTTCCTAGGTGATAAACTTATAACTTTGTTTCTTACATAATCAATAAAAAAATGTAAAAATTTATAAATTAAGTAAAAAATTAAGTAAAAGGTTTTATATCTTAAGTGTAGATTATTCTTGTCGATTAAAGATTGTTTTGTACATTCTCTTGCTTTTGCATAGTTTTTGAGTAAGAATCCAAAATCTTTGCTTTGATTCTTTAATTATTCAATAGAATCAATTAAATTCTCTTCGATGTATGTATCTATGTATGTATACAAATAGAGAGAGAAAGAAAGGTTAAATTGATCCCACTTGCCATTATTTCAATTCCACCATCATCAAATTCAATAGAAAGTATATTATTATTTGAAGATGGATGTACTTGTGTGAATATTAAATTAAAAAATTAGCTTGTTAAAGTATAATACGTCACAATAAATAGTATTAGGTTAAATGGATTAATTATGGTAAATATGTGTATAAATATAGGAGATGAACAATAAAAAATTCAAATTACACAACTACTATAAAACAATAATAATGGCTTTATAACATTCTAGTCAGCAAACTCTTTGCTACTCTAATTTTACAATATTCTCTTTGACCTTCTTCTACTTTCACAATCTTAAATATATAATTTTTTATTTTAGTCCTATCAAATTCTAGACAATGCATGCATTGAATCTTATGTTTCAACAATTTTATTTATCCATAATATTTTTGGACAACTTACTAGTTTTAATGGCTTAATTTATTTCAAAGAAGAGTATTGCTGCCATCAAACTATCATTTTTAAAGAAGTTGATTGGATGTATGAACTCATTGTCATATTTTATGAAGTTTGCTTGAGAATGCACTAGGTATTTGGCTATGGAAGGTAAAATAGAACTTGCAACAAGATGATCTTAATAACTCTAATAGAATCCTAAACAAATTCCAAATAAATTATAATAATGATAATCAATCTTTAATTAAACTCCAAAGGAAGTTTCAAGAATTTACAAAAGAAATATAAAGAAATCATAAATTAAACTTAAAGAAGTATATATAATAAAGAAATCTTAAAAAAATATCAAAAATAAAAATCTTAATTGGATCCTAATCAAATCTTAATATAACCCTCAACACATCCTAATGAAGTCCTAAACCAACTCTAACCAAATCCTAAACAAATCTTAAACCAAACTCTAATTAAATCCTAAATCTTAAATCTAAATCAAATTTTAATGAAACCCTATGTTAGTCCTAATCAAATCTTAATAAAATTTTAAATAAATTCTAAATCCTAGACCAAATCTAATCAAAGCTTAAATCCTAAACCAAATTCTAATTAAATCTTAAATCTTAAATAAACTCTTAATAATTCCTATAACATATTAAAACCTCATTAAATAATAATCACTCTATTAATATTAATTCAAAATTTTCACACTTTTCAATAACTCAATTGAAAACAAGCATGAGAAAAATGAAATCAATTGCACTTACCAATTGAAAAAATTGCAAGATAATCCATTTGGATATTGGACAGCCTCCTTTTCCAATCTTATTGTTGAGTTCTTAGTGCCAATATCTCCTTTTCAAACTATTGAATTGCTCTCAAAATTCACGTAAATTTTGAAAATTAAGTCTACTATCCACAAAAATAGTTTTCACTTTAATCCAATTGGCAAATTGCTAAAAATATTAGAAATTCTCACTGACCCTCAAACTCTAATTTTTGAGATTTCAAGCCACTTGAGCTTGAATAACCTTCAGCCTAACTATTTTATTAAGTTCAAATTCATAGCACATATTTAAGACAACTATATTCACAATCCTACAAATTTTTACTTGTAGATTTATTGCAAAACTTACAAAATTATCCAAAATATCAATTATATATATATTTTTATAAAAATTAGAATCACCCAAAACAACTCCAATTTTGCAAAGCTCTTACAAAGCTATTGCAAATTCAAATCCTTCAAAATTAATATTCAAAGAAGCTCAATTCCATCTGCTCTCAAATCCCACTCTCATATTTATTAAAGAATCCCAAAAATAGTATAAGTGCTTGATTTTGTGCTTTAGGATTTGATTTTGGCCTTGATTGGCAAAAATTCCTCTTTGGATATTAATTCTTTTTTTCTTAAGATATTTTTGCTAAAATCAATTCCTATCTCTTTTTTATAAATACTTATATTTTTTAATTTTTTTAATCTATATTCTTTTACCTTATTTATGGCTATAAAAAATAAATAGAATCCATTTTTATAAAAAATAATTGTAATACTATAAGGTTTTACTACTTGTGTATCTTTTATCTATATTTTTTTACTATATCTTTTTTTAATTAGGATCTTCCATATATATATATATATATTTTCTAATGGCCTTGTTATAACATAACTTTGTCACATCCGACGAGCAAGATAAGGTGTATAAGATGCTCTTAGAACTTACAACAATGATAATGGATTTAGAAAATCTTCTAATAAGCCATCCAAAATATTGTTTGTATGGTTCAAAAAATAGAATAAATATAAATTTAATACAATAAAATCTATTGTAATTTAAATATATTGATGGCATAAGTGATAATATGCGCTATTACAAAAATTACAAAAGTACTGGATATAACATCTATACTAGCATTCCTTGCATATGTAAAGAGATGCTTTTGCATTGGTAATTACATTTTCTTTATTATTGATTTATCTTTGTACATCACTAATAGACTAAGCTTCTTGTTTAGTAGATTAAGATTAATATTAGATGTATTGCACTTCATATAAATATAATTAAGGCTTAGAGTAATCCATTAGCCAAGCAATTTGAATGGATTTAGAACACAATTTAATTCTAGCAAGCTACTATATTCTACTTTGTGTTTATGTGCTAATAGAAGTTATATATTTATGCAAATGAGAGCTTATGAACTTATGTAAATACATGTGATTCATACTTAAATACACATAAATTAAATTAATACTAAAATAATCTACTATGATTCTATTATCTTGTTACAACTTTGTTTGATATATGCAACCATGCTCCTTGTCTCTCTCTTTGTTACAAATGTGTAAAATTTTCCATCTAAAAGATCTATTACTACTTTTTTACAATATGCAAAATAATTTACACAATTTCTTTTGACACTTTGTAATAATTGGCTATAAAATTCATAGTATTTCAAAACAAAAGCATTTCAAAATAGGAAAAAATTATGTTCTAAAAAAGACCTAGTTTCATTCAATAAAATAAATACATATAAGCCTAGATCAAATTTTATTGTTTTATTTTACTTATCAAAATTAAAAAATTTCAACTGGAATTTTAAGCCTTCAACAATTCTTATAAATAGTCCTTCTAGCATATATAATCTCTTATGCATGACCTTCTTATCCTTTCTAAATTCATAGTTAGATATCAAAGGTGTGACTTATCAAATAATCTCATACAATTAAAAGCAAAAAATCTAGCAGCTATAATAAAAAAATATTTTAAATAAAAAAATCTTTCAAATACACAAATCTAATTTTTTC